TGAAGACGGGACAGAACAGATATCAAGCTCACGAACTGTATCGTACAGAACTTAGGCCTGAAATTAAGAGGTTCAGAGTTGAAATTACACGAAACCTTAGCATTGTTTCGTTACCCAGCAGCGCACCAAAGAACTGGGTCATCTGTCAGATGATCTCGATATTCTTTGGACGCTCTACTAGGGTCTCCTGAATACAACTTATTTAACATATGCTTCAAAGTCGTGCTGTTGGCAAAATACAGCACGAAATTAGCAGAATAAAATTTTTGATTTCAAAGCAGTCGAAACCCAATAAAGATTTCGATTTTTAAATTGTTTTTTTCTGCTGAAACAACCTAAGCTTTCATTTTTGTCTAGAACGAACTGACGTACATTTTTTTTTACTTTTCCAATCGGATAGAGCACACTATCATCAGTAAGAGTACATTACGTGACGTATGTAGTGTATTGTGTTGATATCAAAGTGAAGACGGGACAGAACAGATATCAAGCTCACGAACTGTATCGTACAGAACTTAGGCCTGAAATTAAGAGGTTCAGAGTTGAAATTACACGAAACCTTAGCATTGTTTCGTTACCCAGCAGCGCACCAAAGAACTGGGTCATCTGTCAGATGATCTCGATATTCTTTGGACGCTCTACTAGGGTCGACCAAAGAACTGGGTCATCTGGCAGATGATCTTGATATTCTTTGGACGCTCTACTAGGGTCTCCTGAATACAACTTATTTAACATATGCTTCAAAGTCGTGCTGTTGGCAAAATACAGCACGAAATTAGCAGAATAAAATTTTTGATTTCAAAGCAGTCGAAACCCAATAAAGATTTCGATTTTTAAATTGTTTTTTTCTGCTGAAACAACCTAAGCTTTCGTTTTTGTCTAGAACGAGCTGACGTACATTTTTTTTTTTTACTTTTCCAATCGTCGTCATGCTTCCTCAAAAAAACATTACGTTTCGGGAGTCGGCTTTTACCCCGTCCTCAGGTGAACCTATTCAGTCGAGCCCGTTAGCTAATCTCGATCTGGGCTCCTCAGATCCAGATTAGCTCCTTCTAATATGTATGAGCCATCTCCCGAAACATTGTAGTTTTTTGAGGAAGCATAATGACGGTCGAAAAGTCCAAACATTAAAATTATAAATTCAACACCATCGTCAATATCGCATAGAGATGAATTGTAAAAATTTTAACATAAACAAACCATTGAAAAAAGCATCGGTTGTACAGTCAACGACTGTAATCTTGAGACTTGCAAGGAATGCAGGAAGTCCGTAGCGTTAAAGGCAGATGCCATCTTTCCTCCTTCACCCCACCTCCACGACCCTCAAGTCTCAAGATTACAGTCGTGGACTGTAGACGATCTTGGAACTCGTTGTGAGTGCTTATCTAAGTAAGGTAACATTCATTTATGCATTCCGTAGTGTTACCAACGCGCCCACGATTTCTGTTCCATCTTTTCCCGAATTAAGCCCTCTGGTTTGCTCTAATTCAAAATGAATACTGTAAATATGAATGGTTTATACATTTGGGAGAAAGTTTCGACAGAAAAACACAAAAAGCGCTAACACACATCCATGCTCCAAGTATGATTCGGAAACGCAATTCCAGTGTTCGATTGGCCCAAGATAGTTTATTTATAGTTTATTTAACGACACCTTTTCAGTAGCTCAGACTATACAGCGTCGAATGAGAGGATGATGGTGAATAATAAATGGTAAAGGTTGTAGAACGAAACGGTCATGGCCTGATTTGGACAATTGTAATCTACCATACATATATTACGTAATTATCTATTTGAAAGTGAAGATCGTCTAAGTAGCGTTTAAGAATTCAGTCTGTGCCATTCAGGAAACAACATTTCATCACAGATCAACTGGAAATTCTCACTCCCATCCATTTCAATGCAAATCCAGAAACTTTGAAACTTGTTTTCATAATTTCTGGAGAAAGTGTGGATTGTAGGATGAACAAGATCAAGGCAAACTTCAACAATAAAGAATTCAAATCACAGGCTTATTCGCAGAGACTTTCTTGTCACTTGCCATTAATAAGTAAAATCTATGCAAATTAAAAACATCTTTACGACTTCGTAGGCGTATCTGAAACGTCAATAGTGGGTAAACATTTTAGAACACCGACAGTTAACAAAGTCCTAATTTAAATTCAACAAATTCTAGCTGAGATATTACGGACAGTTACTTCGTTATTTTCTGTTCATTATTCGACAAATGTTATTCTTACACACGTCCTATTGTGTCAAATAGTTTGAGAGAAAACCACAATGTTGTGATACCTATATAATCACGAATTGTACTGCATAACATAAGAATCATTGTCAAAAATTTATTATTATTCCTACTCATCTTATCGAACTTCTTACTTAGTCTTCCATAATTGCCTCGTGGCCACATATATTTCCGTAATAAACCTCTATTGTTTGTGTTTCTAGCTGCAAATCTACAGCGCTTTTGTTGAAGTTATTAAGTTGGTGCAGAAAATTAGCAATGAATATGTTTAGTTCAATAGTCCTGTTCAGTATCTGAAGCTAGCCCTCAAACTAGGAGTGCAACGCACACGTTTATGAAACGGGCTATAGAATCGAAAATTTGATGTCAATGCAATTTTTAAAATACCGGATCGAACGGAATAGATAGAATTATGAAACTGGTGAGTTACTTCACATACAGAATATTTCTTGGTAGTTCCAGGAAGCCGTGATTTCATTATTACGAAACAACAGATTTCATTTACCCACACATTGACGTGAAATAATTAAGTAAAAGTACTTCTGAATTTCGCCAATACAATTCAGATCCTTTTTTATGCACTCCAGTGCGCTCTATTATCAACTTCCACAACTGTAAACGCCAATTCCTGCAACACGCTGCTTTATTGTTGGCGTCTCCCTTCCCCCCATTTGTTACTCAAGGCCAGTAGATTTCTACTGACATACATACGATATTATCCCATTGGCGACTGGTTCACAAACAGTTTGCTGTTATCGTAAAGCTGTTGCATCAAAGTGAAAACGTTGTAGTTCGATACGAAGCGACTGTCACAACAGAATTTAATTCATTCGAGAAAGAACTGGTCACTTGGGTTCAATCTACGATGGCTAGCAAGAACGAGAAGATTGGAATTGTTGGCAGGTAAGCAAATTACTGTGAAGACAGCTGTAAACCCGGCTTCAGTTTATGTAGGTAAGCCCTGCTTCTTGGTTTAGTCTTGTGAAATGTTAACAAGCAAATATCCGAATAAGTTTTGCATGGTAACAGTCCTGAATTAACGGACCAACTTAAAACATACAGAGAGTCGTTGAAACAAATTCGGCCTTGGCACCGATCCATTTTCGTGCTTAGTTTCTGAGCTACAGAAACCATGATCACTGGGATTCGAACCCAGAATATATTTTTCCTTGGTTGTGTCCTTTGTTCCCGTAACCTTCTAGCCGAAACAAACCTGTTCTGCCGTTCTGCTATCGTGTTTACTTTCCGAGCTACAGAAACCAACTTCTCTGGAACACGAATCCAGGAGCTATTCTTACTGAGGTTTTCGTGATTTTCCTAAGTTTTCCCAGCGATAGAACACAAAATAGGCGACGACAGTCCCCTGTCACATCCTTGCACTTTTCAAACATGGAAGAGATACTAACTAACTAGATGGCTTACCGAACCCGAAGGTTCATCACCGAATTAACCAAAGCCCTCCACCGGACCCTGTCCTGGGCCAACGAAATCCAGTCTCCTTCAACTCCTATCTCCCATAGATCCCGCCTGACATTATCCTCCCATCTATGTCTAGGTCTCCCCAGCGATCTCTTCCATTCAGGTTTCCCGACCAATACCCGGTGCACACCTCTCGCCCCATCCATGCGCGCTTGAAATCATTTATATAGGATATATTATAAAAATGAAAGGCCCTAGAACTGAACATTAGAGAACTCTATGTTTTATTGCTTCTCAGTCTGAGAAACAATTGTGAGTTGCATTTGATGATTTTATTTTAGTTCTTTTGTTTCGTGTCTAATACAGGATCTGAACTGGTTTGGAATTGTTCCTTGAATGCCACAAAAACGACAATTAGCTATATATATAATTTTGTTTGCTATTTACACAGTCAATAGCTACTGCTGTATCACAGAACATTTCTTCAACATGCTTTCTTTTTAATAAATTTTAACGCATTTGTGGAAGTGCTTACGAACTTTGGTTCATTGAATCCTTTTGACCCAGTCCGATATCCAGAAGCACTCCTATTATTTGCAGCACGCCTTTATCAATGTTTGCTAACGTCATTTGTCTTGTGATGGAGATAACCTAAATCTAGTAACTTTCCAGAATTACAGACTAAACAGGAGTTTTAACTCTGCAGATTGTTACTACACGGTCAGTGGATGTTAAGAAATGTCGAATTGCCATTTACTTGTATAGAACTTGTGTCAGTTTACCACAATCTTTTTCCGTACAAGAGTCTCTTGTACGCTGTATTACTTCTCTGCTTGCTCTCCTTTTAACATTTTGACGGAATGTTCTCTGAATTTTCGAATATTTAACAAATGTACAAAGATGCACACGCTAACACGCCCCCGTGCGTTTAAATATTATATAATTACATTTTAAAAAAGGACAGTAAATTGTGCATATCATTTATTTATAATCAATTTATTCATGGGGGGTTTCCCTATTTCAGTGATTCTTTTCGGATTTTGGAATATAGAGTTTTTACGGGCCATTACTAATTTCGGAAATCCATTTTCTGCCCTCGCAAGTCTTCGATCATGATGGTTTAAACTTGAACCTGCTCCTTTCCATCTTTATTTTTGTCTGTCGATGCGGACGAAATAATTCCGTTCTTGATTAGCGTATTTTGATAAAATGCGATGTGTAGATTTTCTTTTGAAAACTGTCGAAGTAACTGTTGGCCCAAATCATTCAACAATGATTGGAGTCCCAGGTCGTACGAAGGCCTGTCAATGAGACTTGATTCAAACGAAAAACATTTCAGACGGAATTTGTAGCTGTTAGTCTGTTGTTTTCGAGTTAACTGAACACGAATTGTACGAACCGCGCCTTCACCTGATACTTTGCCGCTCTGTTTAGGCACTGAATACAGTGTCACACAAAAATGAGATCACGGTGGCAATTAAACATTAATGGGCTGCATAATTTAGTATGCGATGATGCAAATACTAGACGCGGACTCGATTAACATTCAAATTCAACGTTTTTTATTGCTGTTTCGCAAACCGCTGTCCCCAGGTTGAAGACCAGTGATAGTTATTTCGCACAAATGAGTCACGATGCCAAGGCTTGCCTGCAGGGGAATTACTTTCCCCAACTTCCTTGCTGTTGTGTAATTTAATTTGTAACTAGTTTCGAGGCATTAACGACTCGCGGAATGACGTTGGAGGAACGTCAGGATACAAAGTTACATGGTGGAGACACTGATGGCCACAGTGCCGATTTCTTGCTGGTGTCACGCTGGTTGCTGATCCAAAATCTTTGTATAATATGCCAGGAAACAGACAAAACGACTTTACATATATTAATGTCTCTGATATATATTCACCCAGTGGATTAATTAATGAAAATATCACTCAGCAGTTTTTGGGTAACATCATGGTTCTGCATGAGCTGTTATGTTATATTATATTATAAATAACATCATAAACTCACAATGTTTCAAAAGCTATATTCTGCTTCTGTTATCAGGTAAGTAGGGACAGAGGACAGAAACCCTATCTGTTGGGCCTCCAGGTTTTGCTAGCCTCAGAACTAATTTTGACATTGGTTTTCAGTGGTCTGATTGGTCGTAGCTGGGCCATGTTATTTGCCAGTGTTGGCTACAGTGTATACATTTATGACATTGACAAGAATCAAATCTCATCTGCTTTGAATGATATTAAAGAACAGACCAAGATTCTGGAAGAAAAGAAACTTCTTCGAGGAAAACTGTCAGCAAGTCAGCAGTTTGCGCTTATTAAAGGTAACAACATACCTATTTACAGTCTGTGTTAAAAGTTTGCAGGTTATCTGGAAGGTATGTTACCTTATAATGCGGAAGGGTAATGAAGAAGAGAAACAAAATGTTGGAAGTCATGTAAAATGCAAGGTTTTAGAAATTAATGTGACAGACAAAAGCAAAACACAGAAAAATTAGCAATTCATGGGAAGAAACCATTTGGGAGTTATAGGTGCATATAAAAAGATAATATTAAAATTGATTTCAGAGAAACAGGTGACCCACTTTAAGAGTCTTAGGAAGAAGGCAGTGCCATGGAATTAATGTGGTTATATAATTCCTCAACAGCTACTATAAAACAAATTACATTAATCCTTTTCCAAGCCAAACATAGATCTTTTCATACTTAGGAACAATTACTTTATAGTTAGAGGGTAATGTTCCCTAAATTTGTTCACAAAAACTAATATATACCTTATTTGTGAGACTCTAATAAAAGATCATAATTTTTTCAGATGTTTAGTTAAACATCTGATTTAAGATGTTACATCATCTTGTGCAAGCTCTTCATGCTATCAGTAGGCAGGCACATATTGTAGATAAATTTGTCAGCCGTAATTAAAATAATGTTGTATAACACACATTCCTCAGATACATACAGTTATTGACTGCTTTGTGGATAAATATTTAACAATGTAACTAATATTTGAATAGAAACATATAGACATCACTGTTCCTGATACAGAGGATTGGTAAGGGAATAGCATACCTAATTGTCAAGCCATAACAGTATATCATGGAATGGGTCAATAAAAGTCAATACTTTATAAAACTGGCATACAATAATGCTTGTAAACAAAACATTTTAAAAGAAAATTGAAATTTTTTCTATTTTTATCTTAAAATTGCATTATATCAGGAAATTGGTAAGAAATCAATGCACAGTGAAAGGATAAACAACCAGGCTAATTTAGTGGTAATACTTTGCATGCTTCTACAAGCAATGAAGTCTTCTCTGGAGACAGAGGCAGTCTCTGAAATGTTGAATTGCAACTCAGTTTTCACAAGGCTGATCACTGAAAAGATTTCATTGCATTCAGTTGCTGTGAAAGCACATGTTTTGATATGCCTAAAATGTTTAATCATACAAATTTTCAGAGGTTGCATGGAAAGTTTGTGTTCTAATCCCTGAATTTCTTATCTACTTCTGCAGGAACCACACATCTTGAGGAAGCCATAAAGGGAGCAACATTGGTGCAAGAATGTGTCCCAGAGAGACTGGACCTCAAGAGGATTGTGTACCAGGATGTGGACAAGTTTATGGATGACAATACCATACTGTCCAGCTCAACAAGCACATTCCTCCCCTCCAGGCTGTCTGAAGGACTCACACACAAAAACCAGTTCATAGTGTCACACCCTGTAAGTGCTTGCTTCTTACAAGTCAGAATGTCATTGGTGTGTGATCCGGGAGAGGAGTAACTTCACTCACAGAATTCATTTGGGAAGAATTATCATTGAATTACATGTAATAGCTGATATCTTATCAGGTCAGAAACAGTCACACAGGAAGAATCTTACTCTTATGACACTTGTACCCTATCAATTGTTCATCCTTTCTGACCAGAACATTGCCCATCTGTGTACCATCCAAAAGATATTTTTCAGTAGTTCAGTAGTTTCAATGCCAGTAGATTACTGGCATTTTCTGTAGCTCTTGCCCAAAGGTAAACCACCCCATATAATCTATGGCCAAGTTTCTCAGGATGTTGTGGTGGTGATGGAGGGAAAAAGCTTTAATGCCCTTACTAAGAATTACCCTGATGGGAACACAATGTGTATGTATATTCATGCCTGCACGCGCGAGTGCACACACACTCACGGGTAAACAAATATTGACTCTGTTCATCAGTGAGACAAAAATTCTACTTACCAGGCATTATCTGCACAAAGGAAACCATCATGAATAATTGTTATCAGCAACATCTGATTACAACAGACTTGCCCAGTGAAGAGGTGAGACACTGAGAAGGAGAAAGGGTAAAATTAAAATGGATGTTAAAGAAATTGAATGTAATGATATTTATTATATTTAATTAGCTCAGAATCATGTTTAATGGCAAGCTTCTGTATTATTAGTGTTAACCCTTGTGGTTCTATTGCCATAGAGTTAATCAGCTAACTAGAATGCTTCAATTGTCAATGCAAATTTAATTCTGTTGCAAAATTGCAAGCATTTGAACAAGTTATATGATATTCATCTACTCTTTATTGATTGATCATTCATTCTTATACTGTCCATCTTTGTGCCTCTAATTCGTTATATGAACGCATAATCCTCCTAGAACACTGCCATGCATTATCTTGTTTGTTTGTCTGTTCTACTCTATATCTGTGTAAATAATTCATTATCTTCCTGCTATTTGTACTTCTTCCACTTCAATGAAAACAGCAGTATCTGAGAAAAGGTTTTAGTAATTAATTTTTTTATTTGATTGATTGATTGACTTACTGGGTTTAGATAACTTTATATTACCCTTTGTTCATTCTATAATACAGTCTGAACCATATGTTGACGGGTATGGATTTCTGAGCCTTCAGATTGAAAATTTCATTCTCTATTGATGTGCATTAATTCAAACACCTCAGTAGGCAGAATTTGTGTTAAAAATGATTGCAAGGATGTATGCCATTGTGGAATACACAGTTTCCAAATGCATTCCTTCAGATTTTACTTATCTATACATGGAGTTTTGGTGGTCATTTTAAATTAGACCTATAATAAAATCCATATATAATTAATCATGTTGTTGTATTTGGCTGTTAAAATAGGTTTACCCATAAAGGAGAACACAGAATAAGAATGTTTGAAAACAGAGGAGTGAAGATAGAAGACCAACAAATTAACATGTTTACACATAAATAATAAAGAATTACATTATTATTATTACGAAGACCAACAAATTAACATGTTTACTCATACATAATAAAGAATTACATTATTATTATTATAATTTGTAATAAAATATTACTAGGACATGAAATGTAGCAAATGTAGCAGACATAAGGAACATCAGGGATTCATACAAAATTTAAGTTGTAAAACCTGAAGGGAAGACATAAGATGGGATAATAATGGCTGTTTTGAACACCTGTAAAAACAAGTTTGGTTCCATAAAAGTTGGGTAATTTCTGGATAAGCTGAGTAACCATTAACTTCTGAGGAAGACAATTCTTCATGAAGATGGTTAATTATTATGTATGATATCTAATTACAGTTCTTGAATACTTATGCTTATATATTAACTCATGTTTCAATTAACATCATAAGTTAGAAAGAAATTCAGAAATTGATAATTTATTAATAAAAATAATAAATGCAGTGTCACTGCTGTTACTGGAAAAGGACATAATTTCATTTTTTTGGTTATATTTAAGAACTTAAATACATTTCAGAACAATAAATTGTTGCATAATATCTTAGATAAATAATATTTTTTCTTGATTACTCTTTCAGTCAAATATCTTCCAGAAATTGACTTACAACATTCAAAGTCTAAGTTGCGTGATTCTTACATTTAGCACAATATTGTGGGTGCTTTTGAAAACATCACATTTTTGTTTTAATGTTTAATGTCCATACCTGAATGGGTACCATGTTTAGTTCAGGTGATGGGTACAGCTGTTCCACAGCAGGAGGAACACAACAATGAAAGCAACATTATTTCTAGCAAGTAACTTTTATCAGTCTTCTGGTTCCTTTTTTCAAGATGGCTTCTGATAGCCAGTGCTGCCATAGTAAATACTTAAAAATGTTATTACCTCAATGTGGATAAATGTGCTTCCTGTCCAGGTGAACCCACCATATTATGTGCCATTGGTGGAGGTGGTACCAGCACCATGGACAGAAGCATCAGTCATTACAAAGACCCGTGAAATTATGAAGGAAATTGGGCAGGTTCCTGTCTGCCTCAACAGAGAGATTGAAGGGTTTGCCCTTAACAGAATTCAGTGAGTCTCTGTGGATTTCTTGTACACATTTTGTGCTATCTTGGTTTTACCATGAACAAACCAAATCTGTTGATGTCACCACCTATGAAGTGGAATGAGGAATACATTTAAGACTTCATTGTGTTCAAACAGTACACCTTTCCAGTCTTGTTCTTCACTCATTAAACTAATGAGTTAATAAAATATATGTGTGAACTTATTAGATTTTAAGATCACTCCATGCTTTGTAATACTTAAGACATATATGTTACAAATTGTTTACATCAGTATCTTTTAGTTCTGGATTGTCTGAGCTGAATGTCATGATTTCTCCAACAAATGGTATTCTGTTTTTTCAAACAGGTACTGCATTTTAAATGAAGTATGGAGACTGGTTTCTGATGGAATTCTGAATGTTGAGGACATTGACAATGTCATGTCTGAAGGTTTGGGCATGCGATATGCTTTCCTGGGACCATTAGAGACTGCTCACCTCAATGCTGAGGGTATGTCAAAGAAAATTACTTTATCCCTGAACCACTACATCCATAACAAGTTTGATCTACCTAACCCCTGCTGTCCAGTGTATACTTGGCATGGAGAAACCACTCTTTTGTTTTTGGGAAGATGCAGTTGTCCAAAAGCTTTATGCAATGTTTTTTCTGCATTTTCCCATTTACAGGTGCTGGACCTATGCCTTTCCAATAAATAACATTCCAGACCATGATTTTGTTTTGGTATGCAACACTTTTTAAACAGTCAGTGACCAGTTCTTCAGGTGTGCTTTACAAAGTGATCTCTCTCATTGATTGTGCTGTTACTTCAGCAGAAGAGCACACCAGTAAAAAATGTATCTCAAGTACTTTCTGTGTTCAACATAAAACTTCGTATATTTATACAGACGTGTTTGTCTATTTTCTATGAAAATGTCATACCTTTCTCCAGTCCACTGTTAAATCTTTTGTTGTTCTCCAGTCCACATAGGTCAGAAATGAGGCTAGCATACAATTTCAGTGACAGAATCCCTAAGTGGAATGGAATATTCTGAAACTCAAAACAGATGAAAGTTACACCATTTGTATGAAAATAATTTCATGTTTTGAATATTTATTATGGTATTTTCCTGACATGACGCAGGTATGGAAAGCTACTGCGATCGCTACAGCAAGACAATTTATGATGTGAGTGTGACATCAGGTCCAGTGCCAAAGTTTGAAGGTCCACTTGTAAAAGAAATCAACAGACAACTTTGTACTAAAGTACCGATTGAGACACTGCCGGAACGCCGAGCATGGAGGGATGACTGCCTCACCAAGCTGTCCATTCTCAAGAAACAGATGAACAACTAAACAGTGCCATACCAGACACTCTCTACACTTTGCAATATGCACTATCATTCAACTACATATACTGTGCAGTAAATTGATGTTAAAATTTTGTACTTAAAAAAGTAGCAAATAAATATTCTTCAAAAGTCACTATGCATTTTATTTCCTCATTGGCTTTTGTGCTGAATATTAATTAGCATTCACATTTCACAATTGGGAAGTTCTTATTAATATATTGAATAAGAGATTATTTATCCTGTGTTTACTCAGTCTTAGGTAAATGCCAGGACAGTACTAACATTACTTTCTAGCCCTTGCTTTTCATAATACACATAAAAGACCTTCCAACAATTAATATCTTCACAGCACCCATATTTGCTGATGACACAAGTATCATAATTTCTAGCAAACATTTTGATGTTTTCTGTGCAACACCAAACACAGTTATTTTTCATATGAGTAAATTGTTTACTGCTAATAAGCTGGCCCTAAATCTAGATGAATCAAATAAAATTTATAACAAATAATTCACAACAATAAGCTTGGTATTGGTTGAGCTGTAAAGTATATATACAAGTCAGTAAATACAAAATTCCTGGGTTTGCAAAGTGACAACCACCTAAACCAAATCATATTGACAAAGTGATACGTATGTTAAGTGGTTATGTTACTCAGTTTGATCCACGTTGCGTGTCAGTAACACTGACACACTTGAATTACTTTATTTTCCATAGTGAAAAACAGAATATTTTAGGTGAGTAATTTATCTAATAGAAAAAATATATTTACTTGAAAAGTAAAAAAGCAAAACTGTCCTGTACATGCTATTTAGGCACTTGTGGGGAGAGGAGTTATAGCTCCTACTTTCTTAACCTCAACCCTACATAGGGGTGAGTGGTCAATGTCATGCCCCAGCCATACATTACCCCTGGGAAAGGACCCCAGTAACCACTGGATAGGAGGCTGGGTGAGCCCCAGAACTGGTCTGGAAGCAGGGACTTGAGGAAAAATTATCTGCCTGCTGGGCAAAACAAATCATGTCATAGGCAAACACAGATTTTTACACTTAACACCACTTTATTTATATTTAACACAAGATGTACAACCTAATATTATCAACGCTTTCCTCCAACACGTGGTGCACTCTTCTGCTGAACTTTGGATGCTTTCTGTTTTGGAACAGCTTTTGCCTGAAAGAAAAAACCTTTAACAAACTCAATGGAACAGACCTTGAGAATCTGACAGCAGGTCAAGGGCCACCATTTGTGAAATTGTGAAAACTGGAAGGCTACCAAACTGAACTTGGTCCAAACCTTCAACCTATTTCTAATCTGTTTTTATCTTAACCTCTCACCTATGGCTAAACTAAGTAAAGTAAAGCTGTCCCACTATACGCCATGTAGGCACTTGGGGGGGAGTAGAGGTATAGCTCCTACTCATTCTTGACCTCGGCACTAGATAGGGGTGAGTGGTCAGCATCACGCCCTGGCCATGCTTTACCCCCGGGAAAGGACCCCGGTACCCATTGTAGAGGAGGCTGGGTGGGCCCCAGAGCCGGTCTGGACGCAAAGGCTAGAGGAAAAATCCTCTGCCCCCGTCGGGGATCGAACCCCGGCCGTCCAGCCCGTAGCTAGTCACTATACTGACTGAGCTATCCCGGCTCATCCTATGGCTAAACTGCTCAAGTGATATTAGTTTTAATTTTCATTATATTCATTACTTGGTACAATAAAAGCAGACATCAACTGTTTTTAAGCAGTAAAACTTGGAAATGACACAATTCTGAAATGATAGCCAAGAATATGCAAGGTCAATACAAGGGCCATTCAACCAAAAATTCTATCCTTATGTGTACGAACTCTTAAAAACTGACAGTGTTGTCACTCTTATGTTGGTGACTGCAAAATGTGTATTTCTATTCACACAATACTTTTATTCCAAACAAATTATGCTTAGTATGAAGATGGCTATCTTTTGGGTTGTTGTGCCATGTAGTCTGGTAGAAGTTAATTGACATTACAAGAGGTGCTTGTTGCCTTCATCACCACCACCACCACACTGATGATGTAGGAAGCAAGAACCTCTGAAAATACTGTGAAACATCTACCAGACTACCCCACACATCTCAGAGGACAGCCATGTTCTAAGCCCTGTTTGTTTCCAATCATTCTTCACATGGGTATTACATACAAAAATGTCTTGCATATCCCAAGCTTTTCTGTTACATACAGGGGCTTGTATTTAAGAGGTTTACAAAAGTAGATGATTGCAATATTTCAGGTACCCCCTAAATTTTAAAATGAAACTGCTGGGAGGCAATGTAACAGGTAACTTACCTTGGTTGGTGCCTGAACTTTCTTTGCTGCTTTTACAGCCTTCTTCTGCTCCTTTGCAGCCCTGTAATATAATATGATATAAAACATTAACAAAAACAATGTGTTATATTGCAGATGTCCGATGCACAACAGTCATTGCTCAGGCCATTTAATTATATCATTCTTTAATCAATGGATTGACAGATTGTTAGTAATCATCACAGCAACAACTTTCCTAGCTTCTGTATCATGTTATACCAAGCTCCATTTTACAAAGATAAAGTCTCCTTTAGGAAGCATTTATTCACATTGATAATGATTAAATATGAGAAAATTCTGTCATAATAAAGAGTGAAGTGTACATTTTCATAATTCTGAATGCTTGCAACTATCAGAAAATTAATTTTTCTCATATTATTCTTTTGCCAGCTCAGTCTTAGTTCCTATGTATATAATGTCACTGTTTACCTGATAGCCTGTTCACGTTGGGCCTTCCTGACCTCTGGCTTCATATTCCTTTTAGCTATAATGTCTGTAAGAGATGCACCTACAATAGCTCTTTGGAACTTTTGGGTGCGACGTGTGCGCTTTTTCGCCTGTTCCTCTTCCTGGCCCTTCTTGTGTTTACGTCTGTCACAAGCGGTAAAAATATCGTGTTACAATGAGAACGATCCACTTCTTGTAATATTACTACTCTAATCTTTTATAGGACTGACATATAACACCACATCAAGCAACTTTTACCTGTAAAGAACCGTCCACGTAACCTTCCTAGGATTCCTCTTCATCAAGTATGAAGATTCACATTTCGCGTTCAAAAAAGTGAATGTCTGAGAAAGAAAACAATATTCTGTAAGGGCATTTTACAAATACAATGAACTGAATAAAAACATCTATGTAAAATACTAACCTTCCCGTCTGTTTTAACCATGGTTTTCCCATGGCCAGGGTATATTTTATACCCACTATATGCACACAAGCCGATCCTGAAATAAACACATTGAAACGGTAAATACAATTTGGTTAAAAGTCAAAGGATGGTTTGGGAAAATAGCTGATTACTACCCATAAACAAACTTACTTCATTTTAGCAGCGAAACAAACAGCACGTTATATTATTAGGCCAAAGAGCGCATAATCACAGACAACCAAAAGCAGATCACAACGAACCACAGACATAAAAGTATTTCACCATAGTAAGATCACAGAAAACGAAAGAAATATGCAAAACGTCTCAGACTACCAAATCTTATAAACTGTTGGTATAGCCTATGCTGTATGCCACGGTTCATACAACAAAGATGAGCGGCTCAAAGCAACTTGGCGTGAGCCCAACTTTCTGCAATTCATCCTCCATCGTTAAATACATAACGGTGACAGGCAGCAGGGATGTTGTAAGAAAGATAATTTATGTTCAACCCTTCATTGTATACAGCAAGGAAACGTGCAACTTCCCTGACATCTGCCCATGTCTGAAAGTATTATATGAGAGGCTTGAAAAAGTATTCGCCACCATTGATGAGTTCTACTGTACGGACACAATGCACACAGATGACCAGGAAAGAACAAATTTCAACATACATACACGCCATTTGCTGGCCATAGTTTTCATGGAAATACCTGCCCAAACAGGGGGTATTACAAGCCTGTCCCGACCTGCATTTGTGGATCCTGTGGCAATAAGTGCACGTAATATTTTGCATAGTACCACATGTTTATCACGTATCTTGTACCATCTCATATATGATCCGTGCTCCCGTACTTGGGACAGCGACGATGTAAATTTCTAGAGTTTACTTTAATTGTATGAAATATCTTAATGTAATGGTGCAACTTCTTGATCGGATTTGTAATAATACATGGAATAAAATGACATGCATAACAATTTTGCAGTCGTTATTTTACGCGCTAATTTCCCGAATCTGTCATTGATATTTAAACGAATACTACCGTTGTCACCATGGCAACAAGCGTATAAAATATGGCGGTTAGGGACAGTTATTTTGGTTCTCATTAACATGAGGTTAACAACTTCTCGTTATTGTGTTATGTTGATAGTACAATTTGGCCTCTTATTTGCTGATATTTCTGTGAACTGTTTCTCAGACTTCGCCCGTAAGAGCAGTGTAGTTCAGTTACTGCTTTTCATGTAAGAATGTTAGGTTTTGCTTCTCATGAAGTACATTAGCTTTTACTTTCATTAAAGTTTATTAGTTCTTGTTTGGTAGAATATGACTCAGGATCGCACTGTTGTACTTGACATTGTGTTACAGTAATAGGCAATGTAAAACCAGTAATATTGGAAAGTCAAGTTTTGGGGAAGGGCAGCAGTGTTGTCAGTATACAACCACTTAGCTAATTCCAAGATGTAATCTTCTTAATTAAAAGGGGGCCCAATTTTGATGGGACTGAAGGTCCTTTACTGAATAGAGTAACATTTATTTACATTACTTCAATACTTATATAATAGACTTCCTTAAAGAAATGAACTGGATGTAATAACAATCTGTTATGTGTCAGTGTACCCATTTCATTCATATGGAATTACTGTATATGGACACAGAAGTTTAAAAAAGTTACTGTGTGTACTATAAAAAAGGGCTGGTAGATATATTGCCATCTTGAAAAATTAAGACTAAACATACTACCTCTACACTAAGATTTTTAAGATTCTACACTACCTGTACATAGATGAAATACATGCTTATGATTCAAGAAGCAGCTCTCACTGCAGCACATAAAAACATACATAATATTGACTTCTGATACATTTAATATGTATTATTTCATCTTACATACAATAATTAAACTTAACTGTAACAACACTTCTGTATTTTTAATTACATTTTTATTTCTATTATTATATATTATTATGAACTATATTATTTAGTGAACAGCTGTATGATTTGTCTTTATCTCAACTTGTACATGTTACAGTATTCTGCTTTTTAAAAAAATTCTGTTCCTTTAAATTTCCCAGATATACTTTTATTTTTGTGACAACCTACATAAATTGTGTTGCTCTACAGGATGAATAGATGATGACAGTGTGAATTTTTTGTAATTTCTTTTTCAGAATTCAAGATGTTTGCTTAATATTTGCATTGATTTCACTGGTCCTCAGTTTCTTTTCTACATATGCTTTCCAGGTGAGTACCACAGAACGTTGCAGTTACCCTAAAAAAGGTCTACATAATTCTGCATTTTAATGTTTCATATATGTTATTTCAGGCTGGTCTGCTTGAACTGCTGTATGACCGATTCCGAGCTACGATTGTCATCAGCATAACATACCTCATCCTCACTATCACCTTACATAGCTGGTCGCTAAGTGAACGATGGGAACATCCCCTGGAGCACATATGGCCAGATGGTCTAATCTGGTTATATGTAACCCAGAGACTTTGTGAGTGGCTATGATTTGTGAGAAAGATTGTGAAACTACAGTTATATAAATTTAAATGATCATGACATTTCTTTTACTTGCAGTGGCTGTGCTGTACTATTACCTCTATAAGCGCTCAATGCTGCGAATCAGTGACCCTCGTTTCTATGAGGATTTTGACTGGGTAAAACATCAGCGTGGGGTGTCTTGAGACACAGATTTAAGGTATGTTTGTGGTTTAGTTTTGGATTTGTAAGCACTGTATCAATTTACCAGGTTATAGTGCATTCAAAGAGGAATACAAAGAATGCTGTGACCACTGAATTTGAACAGGGCAAATATTAGAGTCTACTTTTATTTCTAAGATTTATACTTAGGAAATACTGAAATTAGAGCCGATGAAGGTGGCTATGTTCCCATCTAAAAGCTGCGAACAGTGGCATATCTTACACAATTAGTGCTTATAAGAATACTCTACTAGTTCACACATTATCAGTTGAACAGAATTAAGAGTTAATGTGTAGCTGGGATAATATGCTGTAAAATACAAGTCTGTGAACCATATGTAACATTCCTTCCTCCTTTCCTCAGTCAGTGTTCTGCAACCAGTGTGCCACCACAAGGTTTCAAGCATGTCACAATTCTTTATAAGAAATTGTAAAGGTGTACGTTATAGTCAGTAAAAGGCAATATCTTTTTTTATTTGAATTTGTGATACACATACAGACAGACCACACTCAGGTTCATATCGATAATTTATTCAGTAAGTGATGATACATATTTGTGACCATCTGTAGTTTCATGCCCCCTTCCATGAGGCATAATTTTATTGGTGTGCTGTTATGTATATTTGAAGGTTGCAGAACACTGCCCTAAATCCAGTAAAAGAGGTAATTCAGTAATTTTCTTGCAGAAACAAAGAAGTGTTGGCAGATTCCAACATTGCATGTCAAAAATGACTTCATCAATAACTTCAGATGAATAAGGGGACACAGCAGACAGAAGGATAATTATGCTGGGTATTCCACCGTGCAGCAGTCAATCATAAAATTTGGTAACAATGTGTGTTTTGGTGATTTTTGAGTAGATTTGCAAATTTCAGAACTGAAGCAGTATTGAAAATTTCCAGATACAGTACAACCCCGCTATAATGCGGGTCGTGGGGGACGGGTAAACCCGCGTTATTACGGGAGTACATCGGAAAAATTGGTACAAGTACTGGACGTACTACATGGTACGTACAGTATTGATAGACTATCACCATTTAAGAGTATACATACTTATTTGACTATGTTATGATTGATTTTTACAGAAAAAGTAATAAATAATTAATTTGGCTTGCATTTTAATATACCGTACTAAAATATATTATACTACTGTACTGTATTTTTTATTTACAAACAAATGCTATGTACACACTATTTATATACTATTACATTTTTTATGCTAATAAAATTATATATTAACACTAAAAGAAAATACTAAAAATGTTTTGAACAAATCTTACTCATTTTGTTTCTTAAAATAGTCTGATATCGTTTTCTGTTTAGAATTTTGAGATTTTTTTTATTGCATAAGTTTTGATACTTTGCAAGTGCAATAAATTGATAGGATCACAATCATTTTGTTTTTCCATCCAGTTGATGACATTATTTATATTATCTAACACTTCATTAATTCTGGGTGGTTCCTTTTCCGTAATTTCTTCATTTTCACTCTCTTCATCAGACGCCTCATTCATATTATTTTTTCTTTGCTGTAGTACTGTCATGATTTCTTCGTCAGTCATGTGATTAACAACAGGAACTTCGTCGTCCTCTTGAATCCACACATTGAGTTCAACCGATAATTTTTTTTTTGCTGCACTATGGGGAGACATGAGGTACCCACATTATATCCGGAACCACGGTATAGCAAACCGTGTTATAGAGGGGTTGTACTGTACTACAAGGAACCACGGTTTAGCGAACCGCGTTATAGAGGGGTTGTACTGTACTACAAATGGACTATGAATATTAGCTTTAAAATACATTAGTGTTAATATCTGAATTTGTCAGCCAAACCTACTGGGATGTTACAATGAACTGCAGCCTGTGTTAAATTTTACATCTTTAGCAAGTTGAGAAAGGCAACTTCATGTTTTTAATCATGGGATGTAAAAAATAATGTTGAATAACTGTATTGGAGAAATGTTGGTGAAAATTCATGTGTTTGTCCATTTGCCACCATTCACATTAGTTTCTGTATTTATTCTAGGGTTTCAGTGCTTGGACCCAAACAGTACAAATACACAGGTATATGAAAATAAAGCTGGCCATAATATTGATTTTATTTTACAACAAACCTTTGGAATGTCAAGATGACAACACAGGGTATCAAGAATGAGTCTATATGTGATATAGTGCTATGTACATTATCTTTCAGATTCATTGTATTAAATAAAAGCTCTAATTTATTATATACAGAAGTGTATAAAACTTGCATAAATATACAGTGTCACACATTTTTAAGTTTACCTTCTGGTAAAAAACTGAGGTAAACAGGAAACAATCCACAACTTGTATTGATTTCTTGTTAGATTTATATTGTGTATATGGGATGTGATAATTTGAACTTCCCCGTAAAGTAGTCTTTAGGAATCAAGAGAAATAGGCTTAATGGCAACATTTAATGTTATAAAATGCCAATTATCCATAACAGGCTAATGGAACAGGAATTTCCTGAACAGTTTAATCTCATAGAATCTGTACTGGAGAAAAGAGATCATTTTGTTTCTGCTTTTACATCACTGTATGTTGCTTCTGGTGGCCTGACATTGCTACCGATTTTGAATACTCAACACAATTCAAAGAGAAACACACAGATTGTAGGGGTGTCACAGCGGCTTTTACAGCTCTCATGTGGGAAAACATTCCACATGAGAGTTAAAGTTTAATAAATTACTCTTTAATCACCAATTCAATTATAATGTACTGCAAAGTCTAGCTGAAAATAACACTTGTCAGCATGTTCATGTTATAGATTACTTTCCTTTTTACATTTTCTGGTCCTTTTATTAATTTATATTTATTTGATAATGATACAAGACTTAATAATGCTAACCACAGATTTATTGTGGGAAGGGCATAGCAGATTTGCAATGGTTCTTTTCTGTCATCATACACTGATATTTTGGCAGGGGTCGGTCATCTTGTGATGCCTCCTCCATTCTCTCTTCATCTTCGCTACATCTTATATCTGTGTCAGCTTTCCCTGCTTTCTTCTGTCTGTTTCCCCTCACTTGGTCTTCCACTTAGATCCTAGTTATTTATTTACCATTATAAATTTTTATGCTCTTGAAGCAATGCCATACATCTATACCATTGTATCCTTAATTTCATCATCTTTTGTTACTGTTTCTACCTTTAGTTCTTCTGTGATATCTTGATTTTATTCCTTACATTTGTGTTTCTACCTCTAGTTCTTCTATGATATCTTGATTTTATTCCTTACATTTGTTTCTAAATACTCTGTAAAAACTTGCTCTACTGCTTCAAATATCCTTCCACGAGTCTTAAAGTCCATGCCCTTGTTGGTGCTCCACATTAAAATGGAAAATTAGCATGTTTTATATAAATATGACTTTTAACATTTTCCCTGAGAACAAAATATTTCTTTCTTTAGGATTAAAAGATGCATTTATTATTCATAAGTTTATAAAATATTACTATTTGTTTGTAACAATTTCAGCAAATTAATTTACTAATTAATTAAATTAAGAAGTAATTAAACAATTACTTTACTCTGCTACTAGTTGGCCACCTTCATTTACACAGAACTCAGTAACAGAGACTGTGTTACTAGTTGGCCACCTTAATTTACACAGAACTCAGTAACAGAGACTTTTCTCTGAGCACTGTGTTAATAATGCTCAGAACTTTTGCCTTCTGTTAGTGAAGTGTCATGTTCTGAATCTTGGCCCAGGACTATCCCAGCTGCATTTTTTAATGGTTATAAACATTTCCAGACAAATGCTAGAACAGGACACTGGGGAGAATATTCAGACCTAGCAGGGATGAAGTGACAGCAGGATGCAGAAAAATGCAAAACTATAAAGTACAGCATGACTGGTTCCTTCCACATCCTTAAAAATCATGGCTTATAATCATTCAATTCTATGCAATTGATGCATTACTAAATTTAATTAGTATGAAGAGAAAATCTGCATAAAAATGCAAACAAATGATTTACTCATCCCATATGTACATTCTGTACAACATAAACCATGCACTTGAAAACAGGCTTTTAAAGGCTAACAGCAATTAATAATTTGTATAAGGCAGCATACTTTAAAAAACAACAATAATTCTAAAGCATGTGTTTTTGCAAATAAAACTGTTTGTCTGTGGTCAGATTCGAACACAACCTTTAAATCAGAATTATGAACAATACACCATGGAAAAATAAAAGAAATACTTGGTTCCTTCACTTCCAGCCTTGCCAACGCACCACAAAGAATACAGTGACAATGTGAATCATAAGAATGGCAATTACTTTTTGCTCATTAACACATAGTTACTGGACTGTGAGTGCTTTAGAGAAACAATTACACATTTTTTCAAACATCACAATCTGCATATTTTGGTATCTATTTCCAGTTGCTCTTGGTATGAGTTCTACATGGAAGCTTTGAAACATACATAGTTATATAATATAACAAGTGTACAATTTCAAAGAGTAGGGCCATTTCTATGAATATAACACATATTAAAACATTTATATTTAGACATTGGAATTCAAACTTGCAAACGTGATCTTTGTAACACACCAGTCCCCTGCCGTGAGAGAACATGGGCAACCAAACAAAGAAAAGCTTCCACCTCTGTTTTGCTTTCTGAGGACTCTGAAAAGCCATTAACATTAATTAATGGTTTTCTTAAAATTAGGCAGACATATTGGTGTCTTTGTTTAACAGATGTCTGGCATAAATCAGTGTCGTTCATGGAAGATATATAAAAGCTGTATATGGACAAGGAGATTATGAATGACTGGAATTATGATACCAGTTGTGTGTGTACATCACTTCTGAATTCTGACAAAGAAAATTTCAAGTTCCTGGTTTTTGTTATACAGAGTGTACAATATTATAACAATATCTTCATAGCAGCGGTTCATGTGAAGTGGAACCTCATTCCTTGAGTACTGATATGTGAGAGAAACTACCGATATTACAACAATGTTAACTTTGTGTATATCTCTGTAAGGAACAATATGTATAATACTGACCATATGCAAGTGGCGAGTTGTATGCATACGGCTTTCCCCATTTTATTCATGTTCATTAGCAGAGACAGATTTTCTGTACCACATGTCAATATGAATGTAGCCTTAAAAACTTATTTCTTTGGAAAAAAATGAAGAAAATTTATCAGTACCAATCACAATGGAAAACCTGTGGCATTGGATAGGAAGAGGAGAAGCAAACCAAGTCCTCCGTTGCAGTTTTTTCTCAACTGGGGATTCATGCGTTGAGTAGTTTATATTTTAATGCTATACTGCTGCAAGAATTATGAGCCGGGATAGCTCAGTCAGTATAGTGACTAGCTACGGGCTGGACGACCGGGGTTCGATCCCCGATGGGGGCAGAGGATTTTTCCTCTAGCCTCTGCGTCCAGACCGGCTCTGGGGCCCACCCAGCCTCCTCTACAATGGGTCCTTTCCCGGGGGTAAAGCCGGCCGGGGCGTGATGCTGACCACTCACCCCCATCTAGTGCCGAGGTCAAGGAAGAGAGGAGCTATACCTCCACTCACCCCAAACGCCTACATGGCGTATAGTGGGACAAACTTTACTTTACTTTACTTTACTGCTGCAAGAATTAAGCTCTTTCATCACATTTTTTACTTCCACGCTATAGTAAAATCATGATAAAAAATTATACCTTCTATCTACATTTTAGTTGGTTTATAATGTATTTAATAAAAATCTATGAGGTAATTTTGGGGAAGGGGTCTGCTGCACCAAAAAGGTTGAGGAATACTGTACTAATGTGCATTCACTACTAAACTGGAAAGCCATTTGGTATGCATATCAATGGAATCCCTCAATCCAGGATCAGCACTGAAGGAAGACAAAGTTCTTGCTATGCCTAATCAGTAAAGAAGAATTACAAATTCTTTTCATGCCATCATTTCCCACGCTACAGGAGATCCACCTGTATCAAGCCTTTCTCAAGCTCGACAAACATATTCTGCTTCATACTTGAGATTTGATGTTTTCATGTGGTGAAAATGTGGATTATGGTCTTGTAAGTGGTTACCAACATTATGGAGGAACATATATGACCTCCATCTACAGGGTAGAAGATGTAAGTGATGTGTCTCTCTAAAATAAGAGTACACTGCATCACAACCCAGACCACAACTCATTTCTCTCTTCATAAATCACATTAATCATTTCTATATCTTTACTGTGCAAAGAAACAGTACACTGCACAAAATATTTTAATACCGATATCTCATATGCAGACTCTTACCTATTCTTTGGATTATCTCTTCAACATGTGCATCAGTCCGACTGACTGAAATAATGGTGTTTCACACACTGTGGTTCCCATTCAGAAACAGAAGTTTGTCCACTAGTTCAGGTCCCAGACATGCCCTCCTCATGTCGAAAAGGACCTGGTTCTCCTGTGGAATACGATGAGGAGGAGTGGCTGATGCTGGCACACAGTTGTACTTGTGGGCAAGACGTGCAAGATTGGGGCACTTTGCCGCAGCCTTAGCCCACCACTGCAAGGGACAATAGTCAAGAGCAGCTGTACTTTCGGACTGGTACTGAACTAGCTCCAGATTGGCTCGCTCTTCTGCATATTAATATATATTTCAATTTTCAATGTAGTCCCCATTACATTCTACACACTTCCTCCAGCTATGAAACCAATCATTATTCCCTGAGAAAATATTAAAATAACAATAATAAGAGGAATGGGGACTTGACTAAGAACAGAATGTGAAAAGTGTGAAGTTATTACAGTAACATCTGTACAGATTAACATAATATAGAAATTGTTCTGATCTGTTCAAGACACCATCTTGCCATTTGCCTGAAGTAGAGTAAAACCATGAGAAATATAAGAATTCACTATCCTGAATGAAACTCACACTGAGTAGTTCCTAAATATCGGTCAGACAGGTGAGTTAAACTTCATCTCTGCATTTCTTACCAGAGAGGCGACTTTTTTTGTTTGGAGACTCCTCAACTGGTCCTGAATTCTTCCCTCTTTCCTCCTCAATGAATTTGATAAGCATCTGCTTCATGGAAGTGGAAATAATGTTTTTGTCTTCTTCTGAAGCATAGGGCAGCAATTTGAAGCGAGGGTCCAGTGTAGTGGCTGTCTGTAGCAGCAGATTCACAGCTGTATCACTGTACCTATAGCACAGGGTTAACAAAAATAGAACTCGATTTCTTATTACATTGTTAATAAATGTATGATCTGAAATATGGTGTGAGGCGGTGTTTGTTGGGTAACACCAAAAGACAGATTTTGATGCCATAATAAATTCTGAAAATAAATAATATTTGAAATATATTAAAATTCAGTGAAAAAAGGTAATGCATCATAACAGATGTAACCAAGAGCAGAAAGGAATTATTATTATAATAATTTCTGGGACTATTGGTAACTCCAAATTTGAAGTTTGAGGTTTTAAGATTTAAAAATTCCAACATGATTTTGGCAATAGCACACACTGGACTTGTTAGCCAATATTGCCTCACTTCAGTGACACAACCTGGCAAGGATCATTTCTTGCCACTCCTTCTGCTCCTCCGCTTTGGATTTAATTCTATGAACTGTTGTAAGCTTTGATTTGCTGTCTTTTAATGCAATTAAATTTGGTGTTTTATAAATTACATCTCTATAGGACATGACAAACTTCATGTTATCTTATGAGTTTGGGACTAAACCCCTGCTGTCCATAAACACTTCAAATCTTATAGAAGTGTTCACAAAGGACACATCTATGTGCAGTACTTACCAATATGGACTTGAACTTCAGATTTCTGTCCAAAGATAATTACACAAGTGAACAACCAATTTAAATCATTTACTTTCAGAGACAGTCAGTTTCTGGACTTACTCAGACTCACTAAAATTATGAAATTTGCTGTTGTAGTTTCTGGTGCAATTTAAGTTCCTTGCATGTGCACAGGAACAAAAGCCAGTCAGTAATACCATCATCACCCACCTATCAGACAGGCTTTCTGAAAGTGCCTCCTTGAAAGCTCGGGCTGTTTCTGAATCGGCTTCCTTTACTTTAAGGTGCGAGCTGTTAAGCTGCCAAAGAAGAGGCTTCAGCAGAGATATTAGTGGAGTTTTCTCTTCACTGAGTGTCATTATGGTTACCTGCAATTGAGAGTACCACAAGCCATTATTTTCATCAGTCACCTAATAATGTAGCCTGTTTTCAAAAACAGTAGACCATCATATATGGGATGAGAACAACCTTTACTTGGGTGCATCAATACTGGAAGAAATTATCCTCTAAATCCTTGTCTGTACGCTCAGCTAGTACAGAAATTCCCCAAACCTGAAGGTTCATTACCATGTTCACAACAGCCCACTGCCAGTTACAATTCTGAGCCAGATGAATCCAATCCACACAATTTCCCCAAGATCCATCTTAACATTAACCTCCCATCCACATCTAAGACTTTTGAGTGGTCTCAGATTTTCAACCCAAAATTCTGTCTCATCACCTACTTGTGTGCTACATGCCCCACCCATCTCATCTTCCTTGATATGTTCATCCTGAAAATATCCAGTGAAGTGTACAAATTATGGAGCTCCTCACTGAAGGTTTATCACCACAAAAGCTTGCCAGTGAACAAAATCCAGGCAGTTCCCTCCATGCAAGCTACATCTTAATGTCTTTCATTTCATTAACCCAAAACTATTTGGTGAGCTGAATAAATTAATAAATTTCTGTATTACATTTATTACATCTTTCTTGGATCTGACTTGCATGTATTTTATAGCTGACACTATTACAAAATGACTACAAGAATTATCAAATGCATGCCATACATTACAGTTAGCAGTGTTTGCACCAAAGCGCACAGGCGATACGAGTCGTTTATAAAAATAGCATGCATTACAAAGTGAAGCGTTCACAACAGAACAATGGCGACATCACTTTTAAAATTACTGCTCAGTGATAGGTGAAAGCAACATTTCTGCTACATTGCCAAGCAATTCATATTGTTTATTGCTATGGAGGGGGGTTGTCTGTAGTGGTTTAATGCATCATCTCATGAATCATCTTGTATGCAATGCATCACAGTAGACAGTAATAAAACTAATGAAGGGCAATGAAATGTAAAGTTCATGCAAATTATAGAATATGTGGGTATGCAATGATCATTTTATTCACTGACATTTTCACAGACTTATAATTCAGTTGCTTTGGTATAAAACCTGCCTTAGACGGCAAAGTACAAAACACAAAAACATCTCCACATACCTTAAATGGCTCCAGCACCATGACTAGATCTTCAACTACCTTCCATTCATCATCAGTCAGTGTACTGGTATCTCTGTCCAAAGTTTCAACGTTATCTAATACTGACGCCATGACATTCTTCCGTACCAGAAACTGTTCCAGCATTGTGTATGTTGAAGTCCAGACTCGAGGATAGTCCATCTTCAATCCATTTTCTTCAAGCTTCAAAGTATTGCACATAAATTACAAAGATAATCTGAGGTAATCCTAGGAAAATAAAACTCGTTTCTATACTTGAAGGGTACCTGTCACGCAAGGAAGAAGCTTCCTCCCCCATGTCTCTTAATGTTTGATATCATCCACAACTCTTCTCATATATTTAGAGGTGAACAGATCAGGGTAACAAAATTATAACTACCAGTTTGATATAATATGATATCTGAAAGGTATACAGTTTGGATCTTACAGTTATTCCATCTTCTTTTCCAAGTTCCTAGAAAGTAACCTACAGTAGATTTAGACTAATTCCTATGAAAATCCTCTGACCACACGGGATGTTTCTTAATTTCTGCAGATGCTGCAGCACTGTCAAATATCCCAGGACATGTGTGATGTTACATGAATAAGACCAGTCCAGGTTTCAGTAGAAATATATCAGGAAGGCTTGAAGAGTACCTAAAAACACTGTTGTAAATGATCAAATTTAAGAGATTTAGTATGGATTAGAGGATAATATTAAAATGGATCTTAATCAGAATGGTTTTAAAGATAGAAAGTGAGTAGATGGAAATGGCTAGGGATAATGACCAGTGACTGGTTTAATATTAGATGTGTAGAACTTCCTGGTTATATTACAAGTGCGTTAGTACTTACATACAAAAATGATCAATGAATCACCTGCATCATTTGTTCTTGGATTCTGAGAGCTGTGGCGGCAGCATTGTTCCTGGCAATGAGTCCAATACTAGTCCTGCATTTGTTCAGTATGGTTGCCACATCTGGTTGCTCAAAACATGCACCAGTACAAAGCTATGGAAGGAGAAATAACTTCATGAGGTTTGAGACTATCACAGCTTTAAGAATGTGGACTGCTGCCATCTGGGCTGGGTTGTTTCAGCGTGTAATCTTGCAGGTGATTACTTACAAGAGGAACAACATTTTTGTAATAATACCATACCATTCTTCCCTAGAAGAAAAGAATTGCAGAACAAGATTTAGCAGACAGATATTATATGATTGGTTTCTTCCTTAATGGTATCCAATAACACAAACTATGAGCATTATACATGAATTGAGGTTTTCATGATGGCAAGGATGATAATGATGTTCTTCTGGATTTTGGCACTGTACAGACTTGTCAGCAGATACATCTACTGATGATTCTATATGGTACCAAAACTTGAATAAATACTACTCCTTTTTACCTGAAGACTATGAACAAGACATGGAACAAGAGTCAGGTCCTTGTCAGACAGAGCTCTGATCACTTCAGGTCGTGTTGTTGCTACCACAACAGCCGTGACATGCTCCAACTTGATGTCCCACTCCATAAACAGGTTATCAAATGTTAAAGACCACTGTGCTGTGTCCATATCACAGGAGCAGTGTATCGTACTCAGGACTTTCGTCTCCATGAGGGTTTCTGTTGACTGGTGTTGGTAGTGCACTGCTAATGTGATGAACACTTCCCCATTCCCCGAGTACCATTCTTCCACAGACAAGCCAACCTCTCCTACACACACAAAAGATAATTATTACTCAAGGTACGGAACATGATTGACAGTACAGCATATCAATAGGGATGGATATAGAACATGCAGAATAGGTAGAATTTTGTGTATTCTATTCATAAGCCATATAACAGAATTGTTAAATATTTCATTTCATATACAAATCAATGACCCAGTAATTATAGCAGCAAATGTGGGGTCCACCTATTCTAAAATTACTCTCGACCAAATCCAAATAATCTTCACTGAATTTTAAAACTTACAGACTCAGTTTGAGGATATCCTCTAAAGTCAACTTAAAAATTATGTGTGACACTAGACCAGGATACAATTATGGTGACTGCAAGACTTAAAAGATTACCCAAGAGACAGAATACAAATGTTTGATACTCGACTACATTCACAAGATAACAGACCAAAAACCTAGTATTATAGATGAAGGATGTTAGTTGTTTGATGTACATATATATTGGCATGACAACTCTTAGGTCCAATTCATTTCATACTTTGTACCAGTGCCAGAGTAAAGGGGGTTAAAGTCCAAAAATTATAACAGACCTAACACTATCTTTACAGCAAACATATATTACTAGTAACTTGGAAAAACTATTGCTACAGCTTTAAGTTCATATATAAATTGTATAATCACAACTCTACAAATTCATCACAAAATGAATAAACAGATCAATGAGAATATTAAAAAAATTAGTTTTCTGAAGCAAAAATAAGGAACTGCTACCATTGTTATCATTATGGAAATGACACATTCATGTAAATTTCAACCTGTCAGTCACCCCTCCATCCCAACCTATTACACAATTTGTATTTAATTTATGGTTACTATCCCTGACATAAATCATTTAATTTATCTACTGCAACTCCATGTTACATAGGTATCGTGAAATTATATTAATTGAGAAATGTGTCTTAGCACACTATTTTAAATTCATTCACTCAAACTTAACATTAATAACACAATTATCTGGTATGGTGAATGTTTACTTACCAGGGATACAAGCCACATTAGACTGGACAGCCTCTTTAAATGAATCATAAATTTTTGGTATGAGTTCTTCTTCAAGTTTTGTCTTGCTTGGGATTTCACATGGAGATCTCAGAGTTGCAATAAGCCTCTGGAAACCACGGCCCTCCACAACATCCGGCAGCTGCAAGTCAAGAATCACAAATTCTGCTATTGCATCTGATATTGTTTTACCATCCATCATGCCATGAAGATGATTGTTAATATTGTCTTCTGGGAGAATGATTGCCACATTCTGATTGGACAGACCAGGACTACTACCCTTCAACACTACCCGCACATTGTTTTGATTACTGCTGCTTTCCTCATCTTCAAAGTTCTGAAGACTAATGTTTGGGTCTGTAATGAACTGGATATCACCTTCTATCTGCACTGTACCATCTGCTGCTGTTGTGTAGATGTGTGGTGGCCCAATTCCACCTGGAGACTTAAGAGCCTTCTTGTGTAACCTTTTTTCTTTTGCATCCATACTCGGACGACGTGGTGGTGTATTGGCCTCCAATTCCAAAAGTTCATGTGCATGTTTATTCTGCAAATGCATTCGTAAATTGCTAGTATTACGATTATACGCTATTTGCGTTTTGCATAAGATGCACACAATTTTTACTTTTGTGAGAATATCTCCATCATCTGTGGCTGGGAAACCAAAATACTTCCAGTATATACTACGCATTGACATCGGAACAACAAGTTTTTTATATGTAAAGGTGTGTTTTTCTTCCATCATTCTGGCCAACATCATCTGCATCTTTTGTTGGTCCATGTTGCATTCTGCTGCTTCTTTACCTGCTACTAAAAGAAAAAATACAGTACAATATAATCTGCACATAACTGCAATTATTGCAGCAGAATATGGGTATCATTTGCATGCAACCTACTGATGTTCTCTAGAGAATTCTTACCAAAATGGATGCCATGCGTTGCAAAATCCATGAAAACATCAACTTTTCACATTCAATAAAAGCATTTTATCTGTCTATTCCATTCAGGTGTTTATAATTTCTTCACCACTCCAAATTTACCGCGATATATCCGATATAATCAAATGTTGACAAATAGATAAATATCGAACCCCCCCGTATTCTGATCGAACTTCAATTCCTCGTTTTGGTCGCAAACAGTCGCTATGAGATGACGCTATCAGAAATATCGACTATACTGGGGAGGCGAACGAAACACGTCATGGTATGACGTCACGTATCTTCATTTCGATATCTGGCATTTATAGCACAGATTATAAAGTAAGAATGCATATGTGTAACTGAAATTATGCCGTGGAAAATATTTCAGTGTGAGAAGACAAAATAATATAAAGTATAGGAAATGGTATAGGATCTGACATGAAACGATATTAGTTTTTACGGTCACCATACTGTAATGAAAGGAAAAGTGATTCAAGAAAAGTAACTTTTAGATGGGTTTTAAGAGATTATACTTTGCATAGATGTAATTATTAAATTATTGTTATTATTATTTTTAATAAAGCAAAATGTGTTTTACTCAAATGATGTATTGCAAAATTTATTGCTTTGTTGACACAAAGGGGTTTGTAACTTATATAGGGAGGAAGAGCAATATACACTCCCGACATCTATCCGCGGCGGACTAGAATTCCTTGAAAAAGCAACCGCTGATCAGAATGATGTTTCTAGTCACCAATACCGTCATTCGACGAAACCAATCAAAGCGCAGATGCCTCTGGCACTTTGCCAGTTAAATACTTGGAAGGGAGAAAGTGCATGCGCGACATCTGACCATAGCGGATGAAGTTACATAGACATAGTACACCAAGTTTCCAAACGATGTCGCTAGTCGCAATCACGCAGTAGTTAGCTGTGTGCTTGTTAGTAAATAAATACAGATTAATAGCAGCATCCGTTTAATTTATGGGTGTTGTAATTTAGGACAGGAGTTGTGTTTGTGGTTACCAGTGTGGCACGTGCGTCTAGTTGGAGTCAATGTAGATGCTGTCAGACTTACTATTTATGGTATTTTCTGGAAACATACAAAAAATTATGATTTAAGAGTTGTTTGGAAAGAATGGAATGTTTATTTGCAGTTGTGAATGCAAAACGATGTCAGGAATTGAGGTATGCGGTTTGCAATGATTTTTGCTGTAACAAGTACTACTGTTGTTTAATAGGTTTGGAATTGAATACAGCCTTTGTTACAAGAATTTAAAAGAAAATTGACTAGAAATGAAGAAACCGATATAACTTTGAAAATTCATAGTATTTAAAGTTAAATTGGTAGTTTATAACCCTGGTAAAGGTACAATTGTCTGTAGTAAATAAACAAATGATCATGAGTGCCAGACAAGAATTGATGGTGGTGTCCATTAGAGATACAAAAGTTTGTGATGACAGGTTGACAGGAGTGTTAAATTTTACATGGAATGACCCAGTATTAAGTGTATACAACTTATTTAGGAACATAAGTGATGAGATTGTTGTCCATTTTTTTTAAACTGAAGGAATATTTCACATCATGTTCACAGTATTTAGTCTATACAGTATGAATTATTTTATTTCCAGACTTGAATTACATAACAGACAACTGTTACACCCAAAGTTACGATCTGTGAAACATTGTGATGAAGTTGGAATTCCGGTGAAAGAGAATGCGACAGGTGATATAGATGTACAGTGTTTAGATGATGGTTCTTTTGTACTGAATGGCATTCCATTCTGCATAGTACAGAAGAAACTTTATATGCCATACCCAACAGTACAGAGACTCATGCAAGTTGTTGAGGCTCTGATGAGAAGCAAAGGACTTTGGCAAGAAAATCTTGTGGCTGAAATTCCAACTTCATGGGAGAAGTATGGGGATTTACTTCTCTTTAATAGTAACAAATACTTTAAGAATCCAGCATGGTGTGAAGCAGGTTAGTTAATACAATGTGGCTAATTAAACTTAATTGGTGTTTAATTTGTCATTGGAAAAACATTTTGTTATAGATACTTATTTGCTAATTATTATTTGAACAATGGACATATAATTTTAAAATTTAAGCTGGAAAACAGTTCACTTGAGTTCTCTCCATTACAGCACAGACAGTAACCAATGCACATAGTTGTTGTAGTTCTTAAAATTCTGTATTGTAGTAAGTTATGATAGGAATTTGATGTAACATAAATGTTAACAGATATTTCAGTTTGTTGTGAAATTCAAACATGCATGATGACCGTTGAAAATTAATTGATTAAGTAAGGGATTGATTAACATATTGTTTCGTTTCTTTTTTGGTGTTCATTGTAGAAGCATCTCGGGTATTTTTGCACTAAACGTTAATGTATAAATGTAGTGGTAATAAATGTTAAAACTACATATTGAAACTTAAAATTTTGTATATTTATTAATTAGTTATGCTTAAGCATAAGCATTAGCTGACCTGTAAAACTGCATTTACTGACTCAGATCAGATTATATATACTTTTCTTCATCAAAGTAAAACATCATGAAAAAACAAATCTTCAATGTGGTAACTGCTTGTTTACAGGGCCAGAGCTTTGGACAAATGTGTGTCTAGTTCTTAACGGAAATCGTGTTGCTTTAAAAAGTCACATCTCCCCAGATGGATTTCGCACACCAAATGTTCAGTTGATGTGGGGTGAATCAACTTGGGTGGACTGTGTGGATAATGGAATCAAGTATGGTCTCTTTCATTAGATTATTAATCTTCATTGCATTCAGTTGTAGATAGAAAGGAGCATTTTGTGTGTGTCCGCATTGCATGCTTATGAGAAGAGAAATATTTTGAAGTTAGAAAATGTTTATCAGTTTATCTGTCAGAACAGTTGAAGCTTTTATTTTGGATCTCAAGTATAGTCTTTCATCATTTTAGCTTCTTTTGGCTTTCCGTCCATATTCTGTAAGGAAAGGGTGTGTGTCTACACATACACACAGCATAGATTTATACAGAGTGTCCCTTTTAAATTGCAATTGGTATAGCAGTAATTTCAATTGTCACTTGAGCACTTCTCACAAACACTTTTGTGCCCTGAAATTTTGTTACAAGTCAGTGTACTTTTGTCTTATTTGGTACTTTCTCGTCAGGATATGCATTACTAAATGCTTCACAAACAAAAATTATTTTGATGTAAAGTAATGTTCATGAATACACCTTTTTCACGCCTGCACAGCGTTTGTGCTACTGGCATGAGCAGTGGCCTAGCAATAAGGGTGACCTTGACTTGAGTTTCATGGGGGAGGGCAGAAGAGTCTATTACATGGGGTGGACCTGCTTCTGTTTTCATTTTTGTACTGTGGTATGTGATTAATGTTGGGTTGCATTTTAAGCGGTACACTCTGTATATCCTGTTTCCAAATTATCTGAAATAACAATGGAGAAAACCAAGTCACAGAATGTTACAAAACATAGCTTGAAATTGTATCAAATATTAAAAATGTACGTAATAATGCTTGTGTGTGTAATACCTGTGTCCCTTTGTAATAAGTGATCATGTCTATATGCCATAGTACCAATATAAATATACCAACACATACAGTATACAGTGAAACCTGTGTGTGGAACACAGCATCATCTTTCTTTAATATATACAGTAACGTATACTATAACATGGCTGTTGCTTTTGATATAGGTATAGTTGGGATGTAACAAAGAGCATGTACAGTGCTGGCAATGCTTCGGAGCGTCATAGGGTTGCCAGGTTCAGATGCGATGGTGAGGTGGTTGTGGATATGTATGCAGGGATTGGTTACTTTACTCTTCCTTACCTTGTTCATGCTGGTGCACTATTGGTCCATGCCTGCGAATGGAATCCAGATGCTGTTATTGCTCTAAGGTACAAATTCATAATTGATGATTATTTAGAAATGTATATGGAATTTCTGTAGGAAACCTGTGAGAGAGACTAAAAAGGAGATGTAAATATAACTTTGGTAGTTTTTATCTAGCATCTATAATATTCACCTAATGTTTTAGGGTGATTAAAATCAACAAAAATGAAATGGGTAACTTGTACCATGCAAGAATGAAACATACAAAATTGTGGATAAAAATCTCAAAGTAAGAAACCACTTGGATACTTAGGCATATAAAAATATGTTTTGAAAATGTGAGGTCAATTGAACTGACTCTGGATAGGGTCTAGTAACAGCAGGGGTAAACTATCAGCTGTTCAAGGATAATCCAGTTCCATTGAGTTAATTAATTTACATCATCATATTTTGCTAGTTGATACAGCATACATCTGATGCTTGTTTTGTATTGGTTTCAGAAAGAATTTAATTCAGAATGATGCGGGTGGAAGATGTATTGTACATGAAGGAGACAACCAAAAGGTACTACTGAATGTGGCATATGAAATAGAAAGTTCCAAGTTCATGGCTTACAGAAAAATAGAGATGTCAAGCATTGCAATGTGAAGTAGGTAGCTGACTTTAATGGCTAATTATGTAACACTTTGCATCATTTAAACCTGATGACAAAACAGTTTTGATACTGAAATATGGAAGCAGTAATTGATAAGGTTTATCCTTGGTCTGTTTTAAACAATTCTTATCATCACATTTTTCTACTTTTGTGATTTGTCTCTTTGCAGCCATTTCTACTGCTTACTGTCTTACCACAATCTTTTTCCTTTTATTTATGTCCAAACGTTTATTCTCTCTGTATGCTTCTCCATTCCGCTGCACAACCTTGTTCTTGACCCCAAAGTTCACTGTTTCAGTTTTATTTCATAACACTGTCCTTCATGTCATTATAATGCAATCTCTCATGTCTAGTGTAGTTTCATTGTTTAAGGTTGGTTTCTGTTATTTAGGTGCAGTTGTGTCACATTGCAGACAGAGTAAACTTGGGATTACTGCCATCTTGCGAGGCTGGCTGGCAGGTTGCTTGTAAGTTTCTGAAGTCATCTGGTGGAATGCTGCATATACATGGAAACATTATTTCAGGTATTCACAAGACAAAAATTGAGGCTGGTCTTCATAATTATGACCACGAAACAGATAAACTTGCATTGTGTATGAAATGCAAATGTATTCTCTTAAGTGCAAAACCCAAGAAATTCCTGCATGAAAGTTGCAAACAGTCTTTTGGTTTTGATGGTGTTGAGTTGTTCATAGAGGACAGTTTGATTAGTTGGAAGAAAGTTGAGTGGAAAGTTTGGGCCCTCCATGTCTCGCATTCTATTTGCAGCATTCTTAATGGAATACACAAAGTTGTATGGAAAGTGTCAGTAGTGCATCTCCATCGCATTAAATCATATGCTCCACACATTGATCACTTAGTTTTGGATTTGTATTGTCGACCTTTTGTGCGATGTTGGAAACCACATGTCCTGTGATCCACTCAAGGTAAATTAAAATTACAGTAGTGACTGGTGTTTAGGTAACAGGATGAATCATGGTTTGTTTTGAAAGTCTGCCATTATTAGTGTGATATATGCCATCCTTATTTTAAACAACATTAATTTGTCTCGTCAGGAAGAGACCAATTTTGAATCACAGCAGAAATGAGAAGATAATTTAAAAAAGATATCAAGAAAAAAGCCTGATCTGGTTGGAATATCTGATTCATATTTTGGAGGTATGAATCTTGGTTGAGACCGGCTATCCTGCAAGTTAAGTTTCATAGTTTTTCTCAGTTCTGGTGATTGCTAGATTGGTACCTTGAAATGAAACACAACCACTTCATCTCACAATTAAAACTATTCATTATTCATAATCATGCTACTGTATATCATTTGATACAGCATAGCCATAAAAGTTAGCGGACCATCGTAAAATAACTAAATAAACAATTGATGAAATAGGTTATAATGTGGACTGGATTGTACTGGCCCAGAAACAGATTTTATGGCATTCTTTGATGTTAACAATGTGACTTTTGGATTCCAGTATCTGGAAATTTGTTCTAAAATTAATGTTTAAACATCACTCTTCAAATAAGCAAGACAATTTTATTTCACAATTAATTATACTAATTACTGTAAATATAGAATGGGGTTGAGCAAAACAACACAACTAAGGCTGGGGCCACACGACCGTACAAAGTACGTCCGTTGCAACAGACATACTTTTGTACAGACGTAGGTGAGGACACGAGCGCCAAGTATATTATGTAAAGAGCAACATGTACATAGATTACATGGAAAACTGAGCAGATTGGCTCAAGCACATTCATCCAAATACCATGCACCTATGAATAAATCGTGCAGCCCAATATTTTATAGCTTTTGCACTCACTGAGAGCAGATGTGCTGGAATTATAGCAAGTTCATGCAGCTGTTGGTAAAATCTTGTGTTCAGTGGCTGGGTACTGAACATACAGTCCTTGGTTAGGGTGTATCTTTTGTTAGTCAGTAGATGATAACAGGAGGCATAAAGAATCTGCCCATGATTGGGAAATGGTACATGCTGATCTGTGAAATTAAAAGGATGTACAGTTTTCATAATGGCAAATGTTTAAGTACATGTCAGTAGGGAATGTCTTGTTCAGCGAGATTAACTACCAACTACTCGAGGCAGTTAAAATATCTTGAATGCCTTTCTGTTCACTTAAGAAGTATATCCATTTTGATTGCATTGGTACTGTTTCTTCCAGGAGGAATCATTGTTCTAAAAATAATTGGTATATGCAGGACAAAAAATAAAGACTGTCATCATGTTATGAGCTTTTATTTTATAACAAAGAATATCATGGAGATTGTATAACACATACTCATGGCAGCCATGACCACAGCACTATAAAAGTAGCATAAAGGGAAGGTGAATTTGGAACTAGAAAACATACAACAAATGTATGATTGAGGTTTTCACAGCGTTAAGTATGAAGATTTCTGTCTTCTGGGTTGCGCTGTGTAGTCTGGTCATACTGCCTCCATCATCAGGGTGATGAATATGCCAATTGGGTGGGTGGCGCAAAGTTTATATGAGCTGGTCCAGCTCCTATAAACCTCTGAAACGCTGGTAAACATCTACCAGACTACACAGCGTAACAACCCAGAAATCTTCATACAACAAATGTGTTAAACACTTCTGTAAAATGCTCATGTGCATATTTTACAGTTGCTCACTGAAATCAAATGCTATACTAGATCTAGAGACAAACACTTTCAAAGTTACGAGAGCAGAAAGGAGTTCACTTTAAATTGATACATTATCTGTGAAGCGAAGATGGGTTCTCCGTGACCGAGGATCATGCAGATAAATAAGAAAAGGACTGACAGTATTCATTCTTGTACAGAACAACCCACCTCAACAACTATAACACCACAAAATTAAAAATGAGTTGTTTCGCATACGAATAGTACACAGTTACAGTAACACTAGTGTTTGGTCATAAGTCATGTCCTTTTTACACAATATTACTTCTCACTCAATTAAGAATTCTCATTTCAGTAAAATTGTTCTAAAGTGATCACCAAAATTAATTACACAATTTGAAATGTGCAATTAGACATAAAACATGCCTGAAATTCAAAGCCCATTGATAACTGATGAAGCAAGTTAAACAATTCATCTAGTTCCAACAATGTTCAATGGTTGAAGGATGACTTATCCGTCTTTGTTAGTAGAGCTGCACATTTCAAACTGTCACAAACAACAACAAACTTGAAACAAACCCCAGGAAAAAATTAAATTAATATTCCAACAGCAGTTTCATAAATTTCAAGTAGCTGATGGAACCGTCTGCCTCTTCATCACACTTATGTTACACAACACACAAATCCATGTGTGGCAGACACATCAATCGATGTACTGGGCTAACCATCGGAAGCCTTCTCCATAACCTTGGCGCTTCAGAACAGAGCACATAAACAGTTCTAGGGGGCGTCCAGGGAGCTCTGCTCGAGGTACTTTACCCTACAGCAATGAAAAAAAGAATAACTTAACTATTATAATTATGTACAATAAATTACCTTTACTCTGAGACCAGTCAAGTGCTGGATCAGATGATGCCCCTAACTTCAGGCAAAGGATGTAAGGATATGATTGATAATTTTCTGCTTGGTCAGGGCTATCACATATCTTGTTGGGTGGTTATAGATGAGTATCAACCAGTATAAAATGGAAATAATGTAAGAAGAATTATACAAAATAAAACGTCCATATATGTGACAATCAGGGGACCGTATTACCTATGCAGGGATTTAAAAAAAAATTCAGGTACTTTTACTTCAGTAATACATTCAATGTAGATTTAAGTGAGAATCTACTTCTGTGTCAAGCATAAGTGTATACATTTGAATGTAAATGTGTCCATTTGTTTGTACCTATATCCTCCTGGTATGGCCTTTGCCCACCGAGGCATGGGCAAAGAGTCCACTTCTGAAGTTGGAGCACCCACAGGGCAGATGCTGTTAAGTCAGCAGAGGGAACAAACAGTTTAATGTGAACTCTGAACCATAATACGAGTCTGGTATTCGGTCCCAAAGTTTATCATAAAACCTCTGGGAAATATGCAGATGTGGGGACCAAAATGGAAACAGAATACATACTTTGCATCATATCCTTAGTTTTCTTAATGACACTTGAGGTTCTCATGGCAGCAAATGTGAAGATGGTGTTTTGCACTGTTGCACTTTGTAGTCAGGTAGAAGTTTACCAACATTACCATCATTAAGGTGATTTCCCTGGTGGACCTTTGAAACATCATTAAACTTCTACAAGACTACATGGTGCCACAAACCAGAAGGCAGTTATATTCTTATCTCTCCGGTTTAGGAAACAACCTCTTTCCAGAAATGTATGTACTTCTGATTACTTCAGTCTAAAAGGGTTAATACCATCTGTTTCGAGAAATATCATTACATTTATATATTGCTTGCTCTAAGTCTCCTCTTCATTTACGTACCTTGCCTGTAGTTTGGCCATACAGAGCAAAGAAGTTCCTTAGTTCATCTTCAGATGCAGCTTCTGGGCGATCAATCTTGTTCCCAAGAATAAGCACAGGGCAATTGCTCAGCTGCTCATCAGTCATTAGGGAGTCCAGCTCTGTTTTACTCTCAACAAATCGGCCTCTGTCACTTGCGTCCACCAGAAACACAATTGCATCTACAGCGGGGAAGTAATCTTTCCAAACACGGCGTGCTGGAACACGGAATTTCATTAACTAGGAATCAACAATATTCCAAACTGTGTCACAAGTTTAATTTGTTAATCTATGGCATGGAAATTATAAAATATTTCAGTTTCTGTTTTAATTTGAAGATGTTTGCAATTTCCATTTAAAAGAGAAGATAGTTCAGCAAAATTATAATTCAACCAGCCATAATACATGGCAGATTATGAAAATCATAACTGAAAAAGTGATTCAGGGACTAGAAGTTTTAAACACTACATACTTATAATTAAAACTTTTTAAATAGAAATAACTTTCTTTCACTTACCTTGGTGATGTCCTCCCAAGTCAAATGTTGTGAATCTCATATTGCCTATGGACAGTTCTTCTGATGCTATACAAATAAAAACAAAAATATAGCTATTTCAAAATGAACAGTTTCTATTTAGTTTATGTAATTAAATCCACATATCAGAGTCCTTCATGCAAAGCTAACAGTCACTTGGGTCAGGAAATACCACCTCTTTTATTGAACCAAAAATTCATTATTGTGTTCACAAGAGGCTGCCACTGGGCCCTTCAATCGAGTCCATATTTTCCATGTTTGCTATGCCTAAACCACTCCCTTCTTGATTTGATTTCTGATCCCTACTAATACCAGAACCATATTTGAAAGGGTTTTACAGAATGAACCCTGAAATGACTGGGATGGCATTTTGCAATAAAAAAATACAGTAAAGAAACCAACATTATTGCCAGCAGAATAGTTGGTTTATTTACTAACCGCCATTTCACATCCTCAAAAATAACATCCTAAAAATGCTACTACTGTGAAACAAGTGTTTTGTTCCTGCTCCACTTTTACTGATTGCTAGCTATATTTTTCGGAAATGCCAACTTAATAGTGCAGTTCTATTGTAAAACAAATGTAAAATAAAATTTAATTCCAAATCCTTCCATATTACACTAATAACCACTCCTGTCTTGAAATAGCTACTTAAAATTAAATACATTATGATTTCATAGCCTCTGTGCTCCTGCATGAATAGAAATATATTTCTCACAGTGAACTTATAGTCACAACTCAGAACAATTACTTGAATGACGGTAATGATCTAGGTCATACAGTCATGTGATACCATTATGTGCACCATCTAATAGCATGTGTATTTACAGAGAATTTTGTATAACAAACTGCATACCATAGTTTGAGATCTCTCTTCTGGAAGAATTATGTAGAAAGGATATATATATATATATTCACTTGAGTAGGCAAATTTTATATAAAAGAATGGAATATGTAATGGGTTATATTTTAGTGGGTATAAAATAATTCCACTCACAAATTAAGAAACAATATTAAAAAGATGTTAACAGCACCTGTTGCAAACAGTTTCAGTTTGACGGATAAAAAAAGTTGCACTTTAAATCTTATGTTAAAACTAGCACTTAACAAAACTTATCCAACTTCCTAGATATCCATGCATTTATTATATGGACACACAGTCCTCTGCTAAGAGTCTGCAATTAATCTCAAGGAATTAAGGAAAGAGGTGAACAAGTGTCATGAAAAAGGTAAGTTTCACTTCTCATAGCCATACTGCTTACTTGGATGCAATGTTGGTACATGCTGAGCTAAGCGATCATCCTTGAGCATGTGTAGTAATGTAGTTTTGCCAGCATTATCCAAACCTAGGAACAGTAGCTTTCCAGATTTTTTCCACAATCCTGTGAAAACCACAGAACATATATCATGCATCAAATCATTCAATAAATGGACTTACTCATCCATGGTACAGGCTCTATGTAATCTTCTTCTGCCGTAATAACGTTGTCTTTCCCGATTTTTCCACTCCTAAAAATGCAAACCTACCCTTCTGATGCCGTAAACCTTTTATAACCGGGAAAAAAACCCCAAAAATTTGTATGACCTGAGTTTTGGTTATGATGTATGATTCTATTGTATAAACAAGGATCCTTACATGAAAGTATTCTATCATTAAATATTAATGTGTTTTATTGGCACTGTGAACTGATGTGCTAGAAGATCATATGGGTTTCAATTAGATCTACATGCTAAGACGAAATAAACATAATTCACCTCACACTTACCCAAGTATCCTAGAACGCCGGTAAACCAGTCCCACAGGAACATAATGTAATCTGCTGAACAGAAAAATCCAGCTTCCGTACTCCAAAATAAAATGTGACTCAGCTACTTTTATAATTACACAATTAATGTGATCTTCACATCGAGTTCTACGGCACAATGAGCACCATATCTAATACTCGCGGGATCTACTGAATCTAACCAACGGAATTAATACAACCAGAAATATGGTCCAGATCTTTTACGTCCTAGTGAAAAAGGCCTAAATCACAATAAATTCAAGTAACTCTTAGGCTTCACTGGCCTCTTCATTGACCTTCAGGTTGCATGCATCAATACGAATTTGATTAACTAAACTCTTACCGATACATAGAAAAGTTCATACGCTAATACTTACCTCTTCGACAAATTACGTATAAATCTGATAGAAATATAATAATTTGTTACGCCTATAACAACACAAAAACTGCTCTCCAAGAGCAGTAAGAACAAGACGTCACCTTCTAGACAGTTGGCAATCGCCACGTCATTCAGTTTCCGGTTTAAAACAAATGAGATGCTGTTATGTAATTCATACGTTTAATTTATTATGTATTGTAATGTATACCATTGTGTTAAATAACAGCATAACAATGAAACATACGACTATCACGATTTTGTTAAATTTTGTAAGTATCAGTAATGTGTACTTACTTTAAATATTCTTATGCGTGCGATGCGCAGGTCTTTTTTGTTTTACGGACGTTTAGCAGACGACCTTTGAAGCAAGGAAATAAATTCGAAATTGGAGGTGTATGCAATTGTATTAAAAAGTTACAGTGGAACCACGGTTCCGGAGAATTTGACGTAAATACGTCTATACGGTAAGGAGTTTATATAGTGGCTTTATTCTAAATATTTTCTTTATACACGCTTTACAATTGATTAAAGTTTGAGTAAGTTATGTTTAAGATGGGTCTGTGGTAGCTGAAATATGTTATAAAATTTGTACATTGTAGAGTATCAACATATCGTGCAAACACCATATCTATACAAGATTTTGATCTAGTAGTACTACATTGAGGATTTTACATCAACATTAAGCCAAACGTTTTCTCCATAAATGTGACAAAGCTTTGATTTTCCTCCTTCTTTAAATCAATGTTAAAATCTCCTGTCAGTATTATCGGCATTGTATTAGGATCTTCTGTGGCCATAACTGAAGACATCTTTGTATAATTTCTCAAATGACTCAAAATAAATCTCTTACAATCATCAATAGGTGTGTGGTTACAAATATACAGGGTTACAATTAAAACTTTTTACCATTGACCATACTTTCTGCCGCATAGATATCACCTCTCTTTTCAGCTGCAACTATTCTGTAATTATCTAGTCTACGACACACTTCTTCTACAAGCGATTCACAGCTCAGCTCTTTCCGCAATAACGAAAGCGGATTGTTGACGGCAGTAATGTAACACAACAATGCCGAGTAAACAGATGACGTTTCCTAGGTAACATAACAATGCATGCAAGCTGACCATTGTTGTCAGTCCATATTTACAAATTGTTGATATTTCCCAGGTATCCATCTTACACATTTTCCTGTCACTTTTTCGTTACACTTTTTCCTGTCACTTTTTTGTAACAATTTTTTGCGGAATGACCCTTCCATATAGACGTATTTACGTCAAAAGAAAACAGCAAACAAATCTTGTAAAATGATTGATTGCCTACTGTACAGGCTCAAAGCTCAGAAAAGTGTTGATTTATCGAAGATATTCAGAAGTTGTCAGTTGGCATTTCCATACAAAAGGGTGCCACAACACTTTGGTAGTATGCAAGGCCCAAATCCATTGTTTGAACATACATTGAAAGTTTAGAATACATTGCCATATACAGTGGCTATTAAATTTCTATATTGGTAATATCTAGGAGTTGTTGCTGTACATAGATTGGCCAAAAGGTTTGTGTGTAGTGTAGTGGTAAATGACAATTGTGTATGATGTAACCGTTACTACACATCCTGAATAACTTACCTAAGTGACAGCTGTTTGTAATTTTGTTTCTGTTAATGCCCATATATGTTTCAGGAATACTAGGATGAAGAAGTTTGCTCTGTGCGTACTGAATAGTTCCAGAAATTGGTCTTCAAGATTTTTGCTGTCATGTCTCTAAAGCCATCAAGGCGAAGCTTGTAAGTGATTGTAGCATGTTAGTATGGCAAGCAGTTCCAGAATATTGGTATTTTTCTTTTACCTTATTATGACATCCATGCTTGTAATCTGATATAATTATGTTATGTAGTTCACGCAAATTTTCCCTTCCTGAACTGGAATCTTTCCAGTGATGAATCATGGCTTTCAGGCATGTTGTGCCAAAAGTCAAACTTGGAGAACTGCAGCCTCTTCCTGAACCTGCTGAAGAAATGGCTGTTGAAGTGGAGGAAATGCCAGTACCTTCCTATCAGGAAAGTCAGCTGGAGACACATGTGGCTGTCAACATGCTGTCAGCACTCAGGCTGGATGGGACAGCAAGTGGGAACTCAACACCATCTCTGTCAAGGGATGGAAGTTTTGATGATGTTTTTGGGTGAGTTTATTTTGTGTAATTTTTATAATTAAATTGTACATTGTGCTAATACAAGAACTTTATGCCACATTAGTTGAAGCCTCATTTAATCTGACACTTCTCCTCTTGTCCTTATTTTAATATTGTGAATGGCTGTTACTTCTTCACAACTCTGTTAACAAGCAGTGTGTGTATAGGCAATTCAAATTTGATCCAGAATGTTGATCACAACATATAGTAAATCATTTTATACATTTAAAGTTATGCACTTTTCTGTATACTCTTCCTCTGCACGTAAGCCTAAACCCATTTCTGCAGGTCAGAAAATTTCAGGTCAAAATGAACCATCATATATATATATATATCACCTGATTCAATTATATACATAAAATCAATATGGCTGATAATGTACTGATTTTCATGAGAGTCATTATGATTGTCAACAATGCCACATATTCTCCTCCCTTACCTTTATTTTTAAATTTAATTTTTACTACTCAGGTTGACTGTTGCTCATGTTTCCACATGAGACAGTCTTCTTGCTCTTCCAAGCTAAAATCTAATTTCTATGTGGTCTTTTCTATGTCACATCATCTATCAAACAGTGTTTTGTTCATTTGAGTAGTCCTTATTCTTCCATTTACAGTTCCAGCACTCCTTAGGACTTTTAGAGCTTTTCCAGGCTCTTAATGTGTCTAAATTAATTTAAATACCTTCTTTATTTTTACTCTTTTCTTGTATCTTTATTTATTATTTTATTAGACAGTGTAAGCCATTGTTCAACATTACCCAGAGATCTCTATTATAGTCATAGTGTCTGTCTCACTCCCAAAAAATTTATTTTACAGGTATGTTTTGCTAACATTTAGAATTTTCCTTATTCTATGTTAGAGAGCAGGAAGTAGACTGCAAACTGTTCCATTAGGGAGTGTGGGAGGTGAACCAAACAATTTGAAAATCACTGTTATAAGGAGGTTTACTTAGCCTGCATCTTGGAAAATCTTTTAACAGTATTTTTCTGCATTTCTTAGGTTTGAATCAGCAGATGATGATGACCAAGGAAGATCGTGGCAGTTTTCAGGTGACACAGGGTCATCAGGCTTTGGCAACAGTGTCACCAGCTTTATGTCGTGGACTGATGTATGTACAAAAATCTGTGCCATGTCTGGCCATCTATATGCATGAGACTACCAGATGTTACTTGAGTTTTGCATGAAGAATTGTTAAAAATATCATTTAAAATGATGCTTGTAAGCCAGGTAAAAAAACCAGTCAATATTTTTGTAAAACAACAGATACGATTACAGCTTTGTGAGCATTAGAAATGAAAACATAAGCATGAACTTGGACAACTGAAGTCATAGTTCTTGTTTATTTTACAATTTTTAGGTAATTATTTCATAATCATCATCTGCTATCAAGAATTGGGCCCTTGGCCTGTTCTGGATTGTTGCTTAAGACAACTTATCTTATTAGTCTTTTTGGTTCCTTAGAGTAGCAGGTGACAAGCCTGCTGCCTTTGATTATTTTATAATAGTCCATAATTACAGATATTATTACTGCTTATTATTGATTTGTTTTAATAGGATGTTGAAGTGGAGACAACACAAAAAGTTCAGGATCTGGTTGATGAGCTGGAGAGATGTTTTTATGGGGAGGAATCTTTGGATAAACTGAAGAAGGAAGTCTCAGCAGAATGCGTTGATTGGAGAAGCAAATTTCCCCATTACAGGTAGAAAATTTTTGGAGATTTCAGATTTTCTGAAAATATCTATGGCACACATGTCAGTGGCATTGATGAATGGTGGTTCATAATCTCTGCCAGTCAATGCTATGTACATTATTTGTTTATGAGATTTTAACATATTTTATTTTACTTAAAATAGAAAATTTGTTCCCATTGTTGAAATCAGTGAGTTCAATACTCAACAATGTTGTGTGTTCAGTTAGCACTATGCTACAACAAGAATTATCTTCAAATTTCATCACAATGAAAAATATTGTCTTTATTAATGAAACTGTCCAAAGTATGGTTTCAAATAAAGTTCAGGATTTCTACGGCTTGGGGACCATAGTTAGTTAATCTCTTATTCCCCATTTTTAATAGAATATTTTTCATCACTTCTTCATAGTGTTTCTTTTTAATTTGGAATGCACTTGGCAGGCAGGTGACTGGTTATGTTGGGTGTCTGGGGTTTTGTTGTAGAGTTCAAAGACAAGCGCCAAATAACAGGAAGTCCAAAATCAATCAATGGTTTCCATATGTGTGTATGTGCACACACATTGTGTCTGGTCACTACTTTATGAATATGTGTATATGTGCACGCACATTGTGTCTGGTCACTACTTTATGATCTTATTCCTGATTTAATTTGATGTCATATGAACATTGGTTTGATTCTCAATGTTTATGGAGCTATAGATATTTGAAAGATGATTTGAGCCTTATATGGAACATCAGGATAATTCATGCATCTTGAACTACACAAAACATGATTACAGGTTTACTTACAGTATGACACATGCTGGAGTACCTTAATGAGCAGTTACCTGGCTAATGAATTGGTGATGGCAGTCAGCAGAAATGGTCACTACAGTTACTTGATCTCACTACCATAGATTCTATAAGAAACATGGCACAGGAATGCAAAATATGACATTTTCAACATTGAATGGCCTCGGGGAATAAGAGGCTGAAATATTGTCACAAAGTCACTGGCACACTGTACTTTTTGTGGAATGGTACTTTAATATCAAATTCAGTGTTGCTTTTAGTATTATTTGGATTACTGTATCCACTGTTAGTATATCCCAGTATTTCTTTTCCAATAGAACTTAAATAACATTGTTCTTGTAAGTGTTTACTGCAGCACATTGTGATAGTTGTGATCACGTATATATATATACATTGTTCTTGTAAGTGTTTACCGCAGCACATTGTGATAGTTGTGATCACGAGTCTTGAAGTTGAGTTACAATAATTGTCAGTTTCATTTCCTGTGATTTCAAGACTTGATAAAGCACAGACATAGAAACCAAATTCATTCACATATAACTGAATCATCAGTCTGAGTGCTGCTGTAGATGGAAGTGTGTTTTATTTAGTCATTTCTGTCTCAGGGTAAGAGGAGTTGGATTAGAGTTGAGTGCATTCCATCTGCAGAGACTGCATGAGAAGACTTGTGTTCATGATAAAAAAATGGCAATCGATGAGGCAGCTTGTGTGGTGCTAGAGGATGATGAAGATAGTGAAGATGAAGAAGAAGTAATAGCAAGCCATGGGTCATACCAGGAGAAGCAGGAACTGAATGATCAGTGCAACAGGAACTGCAGTTCTAGTCCAGACACTACAGAAGGCAGTGTTATGTTGTGCTATGGTAGAGATCTGTCTGCAGAGAGCTTGCAACAGAAAGTGAAGGACTCTGTTATGGAGCAGCTGTTTTTGCATGTGTGGTCTCAAGTTTCAAAAGGTTTGGAACCACTGTTGCATCTTTACCCTGATAGGACACAACAAAGACATACTAATCCTTCACCAATGCAGGGACAAAGCGGAATGAATACTTTGAGACTTCCAGCCATCGCTACATCATTCAGATCATTTACTCCTGTCTCAGATATTCATAATATTGAACTTAATGGCACACTACATGTATCTGCCAAATCCATGTGTTGTTCTGCAAGTAGCTCTTTGATTTCTCCAGCTCTTGAATCAAACCTTAAAGTCGGCCATTGCCAAGGCTCTTTGCGACATACTAGTGTACCTCCAGTTGTCAATCTAGCCAAACCTCTGACTTTTCATTCTGCAAACCATGTTTTGGCCCCCATACCAACACTGGAACCTCGAGGGTACCACAGTGCTGCTGATAGACGAACACGTGCAACACTGAACAGGAGATTTAGTAGTATTACATCAGGACATGAAAGGTTCCTGAAGCCTCTGGAGGAACAGCAGACAATGGCTGCAAAGGGGACTACAAACCCAAGGCAGGTCTCAGCTCCTGCTTCCCCACCCAGCTGGTCCAGGCATGTCATGCTACCACCCATTAACGACTTGAATCTTCCTTTGAAGGTAGTACAGAACTTGGTCTGTTTGTGTGATTTACTGTTGTAGTTGGAAGTTAAATCTGATTATATTCTCCTATTTTTTATACATGTAACATTGTTCTAATATTTATTCATCTTTAAGTCTCTTCCAAAACTGCTGATATCCACATGTTCTTGCTAATTTGTTTTATTATTCCTTGAAGTTGTACAGTTAAATCGCTTTGTAATGAGACCGTATCATAAAGATACAACACAATTTAACCAAACATTGTGACTGAGTGGTTAACACTCCTGGTTTGTGTTTAGGAATTCCCAAGTTAAAATCTTGACCAGGAAACCAGCTATGTTACAGATTTTTGTGATTTAATTCAGTTCTTTCAGGCATATATAAATTAGGCCATGATTTCTTCCTTCCTTATCTTTTCTAGTTCATTCATTAATCACCATGTCATTTGAGCTACTGATGAGATCATCAAGTGGACCATAAACAAATAAATAAACATGAAGCTTTTATATAAGCTATATAAATCAGTATCTGTATGTATAAACTACACTGTTTTATATTTCACAATCCAACATATATGTATAATTTTTTAGAACAAAATGACAAGAGGCAGGAATTTGTTATACACATGCCTCATACTTTACTCTATGAGACTATTCTTGATCTTGCTGAATCACAGTATGCAGACTTTGGTAAGTACTGCATGTGAAAGGAAGATACAACAGGTGTTCAGAAAGGTACTTGTCAATACAAGTAGCCACCAGACATCTTGCAAACTGTCAGTACATGGTGAAGAGGGGAAGGTGCTGTGCCTGGATGCCAGAAACATCAGCTCTTCTGTTACCTCCCCCACCAGGCCACTCTGAATCTTTATCTGACTGCTGAATCTGTTGTGGCCTCGGAACTAGGGAGCATAGCAAACAAGTTGTCTGGCGGCTACAATATTTGTGTGTTACATGTTGGTAAGTTCTTTGCTTATTCAGTGGGTTTTGTGATTCATGAACATATTTATTTTGTCAGTCGCAGGGTTTGAGCTCACTGTATGAATACAAGACCAAAAGCATTGAATTTTGCTCAAGGTCTAGAACATCTGCAGAACAGAAGGTACTTACTTTTTCTTGTCATTGGTGAGGAGATTGAACATATCTTATTTACTTACTCCATTGGTACAAACTTCTTTCTGCACTTGGTAGATATTCAGCTGATCAAGAAATTCCATGTTGGCATGGAACTTCAAGGTTCATTGTTGTTAACTCAGAAGAAGCCTGTCATTGAACCTGGTCCTGAGTTACCTGAACTAAGATCAGATAGATATAGTCCTTATATTTACTAGTAAAATATTGTGTGTGAACATTTAGGTTCATATCTATCTTTTGACAATTACAGGGTCTTGATTCAGTGTATGAACCTAAGCTAAGGAACCCTGAAATCAACCAAAGATCCATCATGTCTGCTAAACAAAAGGTAATATATAATATATTTATTGTAAAACAGATATATTGGTGTGAAGGAGCTGAGATCAATTAGGAAGGGGACTTAGTTGTGCGTATATGAGGTGCTATCATTTTCTTGGATGTTTGAGCCTGACAGTCCTGTAGACACTGTAGGATACCTTTGTGGAAGAGCTGGTTAATGGCTTGACCTTGCGGGAAAAATCCATGATGAATGATCCTGTTGATATCAAAAACATGATCAACATGCTCTTGATATCCAAACGAACCTGTCTGGCCTTCTTCAGACATGGAGATGAAGGGATTTTCCTCCAACATGATTATGCTGCTTTGTCTCTGGATCATATCCATAAATCCATCTTTCATTTACTTTGGTGATCTTTGAAAGTAAGGTCAAGCCATTGTGATGCAAACTTCTTCTTTCAAATCTGTTGACCTGGTAAAAATCAGATATAAACAACACAACACTGTCTCGCTTGAAGGCACGCAAAATCACGCTGAAGCAAGCTAGACAACTTGAATTGTAGATCCCTGCTAGTTTAATAGTTGGTTAATATTTCAGACAACACTTTCACCAATTGAGTCATCAGGTCCAATTAGTATCCAGGGAACTGGACTCTCAAAGATTGACTTTACGAAACAGTTGCTGGAGAAGCATGAAGACCCAAGTTTTGAGAAGAAGGATGGTGAGGAAATGGAATCATATGCATAAGTTTTCACCATGTTTAGAAATTCCTTTTTACACATTTTTCCCATAGAAAAAGTAAATTTATCTGTATGTCTATGTATGAAGTTGCTCATATTATCAGCCTTAGTTTTGAAAGGAGATGACTGTATAGTCTCCAGCCATCTTTACCTCCAGAGAAAAAGAGCCTTGTTGAGCACACAGCCATCTAAACAAGCCAAAGAGAAACAATTTCCAGCTATATTTACAAATTTATAGGAAGCTCAGGCTAATAAATGTTACTTGCAGATCTGGAAGATGGAATATAGAACACTTGGAAATCAAACATGTCTGTTAAAATGCTTTATTTACAGTTTTATTAAACATTTTTCACCAACTCAGTTTTAGTAGGAAATAAAATTAGAGAAATGTGCACAGTTATATCCTTCACATTTTCTGTGTTTAAATCTACATCAGTTGGTAATGCAAGTTTTTAAGGAGGAATCAAAACCATTCAGTATCAAATTATAAAATTCTGCAAGGTGATAGAATTTTTGTTAATATCATCTTATCCAAAATATAAATGGAGGAAATGGTGGTTGCATTCTTCAATTTGTTGAATATAAATGACACTTTTTTCTTAGTACACATACTAGAAATATAAAGATTGTGACAGTTGTTATGATGAGACTTTGTAAAATATAAATGTGGTGAGGTTAACTTCCCAAAATTGAAACCTGCCTTTATTACGTTGAGTCCTGTTCAATATAATTGTGAGTTGTGAACACTGTATGCCTTTAAAAACTTCTTCCTTAATTGCAACCCTGCCCTCATGCAATGCATTATGTTTGCATAAATGAACTGTAGTGAGTGGGTCACAGTGGTATAACCATTACAGTTTTAGTGCAGCAAATGCAAGTACCATATTATATATAGTTTTATTTGTAGATTCAGTTCAGTTTGTTTCTTGAATGTATTTGTTGAGTCACAGTCATATAGAACCTCAGCAATTTAGTTTGCTTTAAATCTGTAAATTATTCATATTGTCTTTGTTCATAATTTTCTCCACAAATACTGTTATGATATGTGAAGTTTTAAAGCGTATTTTAAATGAGAAGATGTTTGTGCCTGTGAATTGTTCTGTAATGCTTTCTTGTGTTGTTTAAGGCAAAATGTCCTGTGCAAGAGACAGAAGATGCAAGCAGAAGTTGAGAGGTAATAGGCATGTGAATTGAAGTGTGTTTTCTGATTGGCTGCCTGTTCAGTAGCTTTGTGTGTAATGCTGTAAAAACCTTTGCAGATTCCATTTGCATAAGACTGACTAGACGTGATTTTGTGAAGTTTTCCTGTGATGAACAGTGATAAAACAAAGAAAAAGTATACATTTTAATGTGCAATTTGTATTAAATAAATATTTCACATATAAAATGATCAAGATAAATAATATTTAGTGTGTTCGTTGTTTCATTTATTATCATCTGTGGTGTACTAGGCTGAACAGAGGCTGGCAGTATTGGTGCTTTACAGGTAAAAACTTTGTTTCCAAAGAGACCAAATAAACTAAAAGTAAAATTGAAATTAAAGTTTATTAGAGAAATGAAAAGAAAACTTAACATTGTAAAATTAATTGAGTATATTAATAAATATCTATTCAGTCACTTCAACTTGATAACATTAGTAATTTTATTTGACATTAATAATTAAATAGCACATTTACTGACAAAGACTGCTATTTTTTCATATACCCATTAAAGTACACTTTCTACTAATAAACTACAGGTTTTCCTATTTACTGAAAATGGCAAACAAAATTTTGTTGAACTTATTTCCCACTTTTTTCACATATGCATTCAAACAGTCTGTTTAGTAATGAAACAATAAATTTAAGTGGAAATAATTAGGGAATAAGTTTGTGAATTTCAGAATGTAATGTCTTATCTCCTTGGAAGAATTCTGCAAGAGTGTGATCAGTTCCAGGAAATTTGTTTTAACTTTTCAGTAGCATTTTCAAGTAGGTTGGTAGTCTTTCTTAATGCTAATCTCCAGTATTTTTTGCTTTTACTGTTTAAACTCATCAGTTTTGTGTTCTAGATATTCTCTCCTTTTTCCCAGCAAAGGTTCTACTACCGTGCAATATCGATATGAGAAGAATTTATAAAATTTTAAATGCTTGTTCCAAAAACACATGAATGTCAGTACTCAGTTCCATTACATTGCATGCACAAATAGAACTGTAGTTCAAAAATCGGTTCAGTGTATTCAAAACAATAGTTAAGTTGCATAATTAGTTTTTTTATCTGAAATGCTAACATATTTTGTAGTAAATTATAATATGTGTGAGTTAGATTGTAAAAATAACGAAATAATTTCATTATTCATATAATTAAGTAAGTTCTGTACTGCATATAATTATTCAAGACTTAAATATTATGACAGGTAACTGGTGACAAAACATAAAAAATAGAGGGTTGCCGAAGTAAAGGGGCAGACTCTACTTGAAAGAAGTAACCTGTATAATAAGACTTAAATTATTCAGCTACAAGATTTTCTTCAGGAGGCCACATTTATGTGGTAACATTTGGAATATATGTACTGATTAAAATTTTAGTTCAACATTTACACGAAATGTATTCAGTACTTACAACCTCAGTTCATAGATGTCTCTTGTTAGAATACTTCTCCTGCCATCTTATGGCAGCTTCGCATATTATGTAAAACACATTTCTGTTGGCCGTGCTAAATTTTGAGCCTTCGCGGTAGTGAAAATGGGCGGGTGCTGGTTCAGTTCACATTTTACCGCAGTGGTGCGAGGCCATGTTGCGATAGCCAGGTTAAAAAAATAGCACAAGGTTAATGATGGACATTCATTTTTACTGAGTGCGTGTGATAGAGGACATGTCGACCTATCAATATACGAAATGTGCGTGCTTTTGGGAGTACCTGGTTCCTTTCACCAGATTTTGGGGAGTCTTCACATCAGTTAGTAAGTACTAAATTGTTCATTTACACTGCATGCGTATGCTGTTCGCCAGTCATGGAATGTCGACTGTCATCCAATGCTTGCTGTAGCAGTAAGCTACACGTGTTTGTCATATAGACACATAATGCAGTGTTGCTCTCCAAAGTCCGCTCAGATTAATTACAGATCAATTTCGATATCTGAATTTTTCCTTGCGTTTTGGCGACCAATCCCGTTCATTAACAATGTTGTCTCCATTCTACCGCAGAGAGTGCAGCGGCATGTAATACGGAACGAGTTGCTTCTAGCATGAGATCACTCGTAAAACAATAGAACAGGGGTCGCAATCTGTATTCATTGGTCGAATACGGCTACAATCATAGGAATACGAAGCTACCTAATGTCATACAAATTTCTGCAGTCTGAGATCACATGTGGAAAAGTAATTGGTTTCAGAAATCGTATTAAAAACAGCATTTGTGGTGATAAGTTGCGTTAATTAAGTTGGAATGGTTTTGTGTCACGTAACTCCACTGTCGTAACCCCAAATGTTGGTGTGTGATTATAATTGTGGTGGGACCGAATGGTAGTTTTTTTATTCATTGGAACGTCAGTTACCTACAATAAAGAGATTTTCAATCACAAAGAGCAATTACTACAGACTAAAGGCTTTATCAAAGATGCAGGTTTACGTGTTTGTTACAGAGCCGGCAGACAAAATTTAAACCACCGTGGATTATGGTAATGGTCATATAAAATGAGTCTTTTGAGTGTAATTGAAGGTATAAAAACTGTCTTAATCTTACGGTATTTACTGTCAATCACAACAGTGTAAAGATGGTACGAAGATACAGTGTTTTTCTGTAGAAGGAGGTTGCCTACTGATTTATGGTGGTGCGATTAAACAAGACGGGTATTATTCCAGTTTTAATAGGGATTTTGTTAACATCTTGACGTGACTTCATATGTAAGTAACTCTTCCGTCCGGCACACAATTGTTTATTTAATTATGTTAACGTATTTTAAAAATAGTGAAGTATCTTACTGTGCATCATACTTTTATTTTTATCAGGCGCGATATATTTTCTCCTCTCCATCATATTTCCCATGCTTTTGGTAGTTCAGGGTCATTTGTGAATTTCATAACATGCTGTATTTTACCGCGAAAGTCTGCTGGCACCGCGTCTTACCTTCTGCTTGATGACGTCTCCATTTCATCTATCCGTGACTGCTTTACAGGATAGGCTGTACACTGCTGCCCTCCTTGGACGATGTGACAAGTGATCCATTTAACTCTTACGTATACTATATGTATCAGTAACTTTACTGATTGATAAATCAATTGGTACGTATAGTTACCATAAATACACTCTGTGGGGAAAAAAGACAAGTTTTTTTCTGTTTGTTGCCCATAGAGTGTATTTATGGGTTTATATTTTTCAGAATAAACGATGATTATTTTCTCAAAAAGCATTGACCAGTTGACGCGTTGTTTTATTTGTAGTACTGACTGAATAATTAAATATTATTAAGAAGAGCTTCGGCTTCAGAGGGTTACCAATTAATATGATTAAGTACAGAAACTAAGAATAGCTCAGTCAGTATAGTGACTAGCTACGGGCTGGACGACTGGGGTTCGATCCCCGACGGGGGCAGAGGATTTTTCCTCTAGCCTCTGGGG